CTTGAGCATAACGATATTAAAAAATTGTATTCAATGGAAGATTAATTCAATTCAATTCAATAACTTTTATATCCATTATATTAATCTTCAACTTCAGATGTGAGACTCTAACACTTTTCTCCTAGTGGATATATAGTAGTTAGACTATTTTCAATCTATATAACCGGTTGACTACTTGTAAATGAACTTCCTTCATCCTAAGACGAATATTTGAGAATGCAGTGAGTGGCTGGATCGTTTAGACGAAAACCTTGACAAATGAAATAATCAAAATTTTATAACTTTGATACCATGCCATGATAAAATTGAGAATGTGATAGTGATCACTCGACTAAGTCACAAGATTTTCGGACAGAACCGTGCACATCAAAAAGATTGAATTCAACTAATTAGTTAGTTCAACTAAAGAAATTATATACCGTTATTTTCTTCTTCAATTTTCAATGTGGACTCTAACACGGTTACATGGGTGGCTAATGAAAGATGTTAGTGGCCAAAAATACTCGACGATAACTCTAAGTGCTTCAATATATTAAGAAAGTGTGTATAAATAGATACGATGTTCTAATGATAAATTAGTTAATGAAAAATATAAATCATATGCAATCATTAATTCTAATAAGAAGTTAACACCGTTAGTTCTGGATCATTTTTGTTATTCTTTTGATATATAAAATTAAATGCGATGTACTATAGAATTATTTTTATTTGGTCGAAACATCATTAGATTATTTATTTCCATTTTTCTTAAAATTAAGATTCATAAATGTACTGTTTTATTTCAACTCCTAGTTTCTTGTAACATATAATTCTATTTTTCCCACAAAACAAATAGATCACGAGTCTAAATAAGGCAAATAATAAATCTAAACTCTATTGAAATATTTGCAATAAATAGCACTAAAACTTAAGTCATTTCCGTAAATAGCACTTAAATTGTTTTATTCCCTAAATAGCACTTAATAATGTCCATAATGTCCAGTGATGACAAATATTTACTTGAATAATGACAAATGCATAATGACTAAAAGTACTACATTGGGAAGAAAAACACATATGGTGTTATTTAGGGAAAATCATTATGTTTTAGTGCTATTTAAGTAAATTTCTTTACTTTAATTCGCGAGGGAGAGTGTAGTTAATCATTACTCCCTCCGTTCTCAAAAACAGTTTCTCTTTCATTTTTTCCAGTTCTAACAAAACACTTCCCCTTACTTTTTCCTACCCTACCTATCACATCATACTTTTTCTCTAATAATCTATCCATCACATCTTACTTTTATCCATCACATCAGGGGCAAAATTGGAAATCAACTACGAAGTATAATTTAACACTTCCTTATTTTTGTCCCCAAATCAAATGGGAAGGGTTTTTCCCAACCGAGGGAGTATAACTTTCTTACCCATCTGACCGGTGGACACCACCAACCAGTCAATCATCTCATCAAACTAAACTCATTTTAACATGATTCTACCCCCTTTGAAAGAACCTCAAATATTTACCTCACAAAAATTTAAAATATATTAAAATATTGATGTAAAATAAAAAGATCATGGTTGAAATTTATTTTACAAAGAAATGATCAATGTAACGAGAAAATAAATTAAAAAGTGTAGATTAATTTTAAAAATCTAAAAAGCAAAACTGTTTCAAAACTTGATGTGTTAGATTATAAAATATAAAATTTTTCTAGTCTTCAAGCTTGAGTTTTTTATTGAATTAATTTTTGACATATGGTATCATATAGCATTGTTGATCAGGAGGTCACGAGTTTAAACCACACCGTCACTTAGTTTTAAAAAGTTTTGTTTTCACGTTCAAGGGCAAAAACAAGTCTCGTATGCACGTGAGATAACACGTTAGAATATAAAACGTTTTCGAAGCCTACAAGTACAAGTGTATTTTCTCCCTCTCCCAAAATAGCATTTCTTAATTTAACATCTCACCATATATATATCAATCAATATAATCTATCCATCTTCTCTAAATTAGTTAATTAACCTAGCTAATTATCTTGTTAGCATATATACAAAGTGCAGTTCATCAGTTCTCCATCATGCATAGTTCATCACCTCCATCACTTCAAACCTTGTTACAAACTGCACTTCTCTCTGTCCAGTGGACTTACAGTCTCTTCTGGCAACTTTGTCCACAACAACGGTAAGTCATTATATATATATATATATATATATATATATATATATATATATATATATATATATATATATATATATATTTATATATATATATATATAATACTATCTCCGTTCAGTATATTTGTACTGTTTGACTTTTTACGACGACTTTTCTGAAATTTCGGGGAAGTGAAACCGTTGTAACGCAGGGTGTTGGTGTGGAGAGATGGGTACTATAACGGATCAATAAAGACGAGGAAGACGGTGCTCGCCGCCACCGCCTCCATGGATGTAAGAGCCGCCGATGACGCGTCGCTCCACAGAAGCCGTTTGATTCGGGAGCTTTACGAATCTCTCTCGGGAGCCGCCGGTGAATATTCCAACGGGGGCCAGCAGGTGGTGCCGGCGGTGGTGCGGCGTCCCTCGGCTGCATTGTCGCCGGAGGACTTGACGGAGTCGGAGTGGTTCTACCTCATGTGCATGTCATTCTCTTTCCCACCTGGTTATGGGTACGTACGTATAGGGCGTCTCCAAAAATAAATTCGGGGAGAGTTTATTTTCAATTAAGTTTCCTACTCATTATGATTCGTCTATCCCATAAAACCCTTCTTATTTGAAAAATGATATTATTATCTAGTCATGACTCATTTATTTTAACATCGCATCATACTCTATTATAAAGTAAAATCAAAATCAGAATTAATACAAAATTTACTCATTTTTCAAACTTTTTTTTCTCCCTGAGATGAGATTCCTACATTAAGTGAGGGGGGACTGGGGGTTGGTTTGTGAAATAAATAGCAATGCCACAACAAAGAGGTTGCAGTCTAGTTATATACCTCCTCGTTCCTTTGAGAATGCTAAGCAATGTCATGGGATGATTCACGAGTCGTGCGATTCCCCGTTCGTAAAATTGACGATACCTACCCATCCTAACTTCCAGTAAACCCCCCCCCCCCACCCGCCCCGTTATGAACCTACCACCCCACCCCCTTCAATTACATCCTCCAAATTAAGTTGACTTTAGAGTGAGTTATATATATAGACACACACATACATAAACTCTTAAGTAGGTGGGTAGGTAGGGCTAACATACAATTTAGTGCTTCAATAATAGACTTTAAATAAATAAATATGATATAGATTACCAGGCAAGGCATATGCAATGCAGCAGCATATATGGCTCACAGGTGCAAATGAAGTCCATAGCAATGTTTTTTCCAGAGCAATTCTAGCCAAGGTATGTAGTAGAATTGATATATAGATCCATGTATTCCCTAATATGTTCCAGCATTAATTAATTATGCACTTGCAGTCTTATTAATTAATTACTCTATTTCTTCATCTATTTTAGTTACTTACGAAGTATTTAATAAAATAATATAATCGATGATTCATTTTGCAAAAATCTGTTCACTTAATTACTACGAGTATTTTGTTGGATTTGAAGTCCATCCGACATTTATACCCTTAACACGCTAAGCCGAAAGCTTGAGCTAGTGATCGATATATTTTTAAAAATATTTATAGAGTAGAAGATATAACTGTTTGAACGGGCGGTTCCAGCGACATTAGAGTCCAGTGACATCAGATGCATTAGTCATTTACTCATTTGGGACCTCTACAATTCGAAAAATTGTTGGTTCTTGTTCTTTCTAATAATTGGTAAATCTCTTACCTCAGTCTGACCCTTCAAACTCATCCCCCTACCCCCTTTAATACAATTGAACACCCAAATTTACTTGATATTGGGGTCAAGTTTTTGACTTTAAAATCAACGAAACTTCAGTGGTCTAATTGACGAGATGAGAATGAGTTTGAGGTCAGCTGGAGTAGGAGAGTTTATCGCGGGGTTAGGAGGGTATAGATTCAATTCTTCGAATAAAGTTTTTTACTAATAATTTTGGCTATATATTTTCGTTCGTACATTGCCCCATGGAAAATGCTACTCCCCTCCATCAAATCATATCCGTGCGCAAAAGAGTGCTCAAATGCAGGTAATAATTAAAAATAAAAATAAATTATGTATTCGGCATATATATTACTGCTCTCTTAGCGTATTCGTTTAATTTGATTTTTTTCTATTCAAATTAGACGAACTTCAAATCCCAATTAAATAGAAAACGATAATGTATATTAGTGTGTGTGTGTGTATATAATGATTTAATTAGATTTAATTAATTGATATTTAAAATTCATTCAATTTAACTAAAAGAAGTTAAACTGGACGGATGAAGTAGTAATTGTGCTGAAGATACAATGCCAAATAATAATTATTGAGTAGTAGTTAATTTTTGTTTACGCAGACTGTGGTTTGCATTCCCATATTGAACGGCGTGGTTGAATTGGGCACAACTGAAAGGGTAATTATTTCCATATTCATACAAAGTTTAGTATTGTGAAAAATTTATTTAACAATAGTTTAACGTTAATTTTATCTAAAACACTACAGATCATTTATCTTAATATTGAGTTTGCTAATAATGAAGTAAATAAGTAATTGTGTGCTAAACAGCTAATAATATTTCCTTGTTGCAAAATATATAAAGGTTGAAGAAGATTATGAATTCATCCAGTACATGAAGACCCATTTTACGAAGCCTAATCATCATCATCATCATCATCATTCAATAAGGCCGGCCTTATCTGAGCACTCCTCATCGGAGCCGCCTCTGCTCTGCTCTCCGGCCACCGTAGTGCCACCCTACTCCCATTATAATGTCCATGCCGATGAAGACGACGACGACAATGAGGATGATCGTGATTACGATGAATACGATGAGGAGGAAGAAGATAACAGAAGCAACAACAACAACAACAACGTTTCGACTACACATAATAACGGTACGGGCCTGGAGGTCGAAACGAATCAAGCCGCCCGCGAAACAAATCACATGGCGGCTGGAGAGCTGATGCAGTTTGAAATGTCTGGGAGCATAAGACTCGGATCACCGGACGATGATGCCTCCACTGATTTAGGTTCACACTTTCATTTGCAACACCCTTCTTTCTTAACTAAACAAGGTACATTATACACACTACATCCGTCTCTGAGTATTTGTCTAGTTTCGACTTTTTCCAGTCAACCGTTTTCAACCTTTGACCTATAACTAAATGAAATATATATTGTATATTAATTAGATAGAATGATATTTTGAAAATATTTGATATAATAAATCTAATAAAAATATTTCTGTATCAATATCTAATATCAATTTTATTTAATTTGAAGTCAAAATTTATCAATTTTGACAAAAAAAAGTCAAAAATAGATAAATACTCACGGACGGAGGGACGGAGGGAGTATATAGTGCCTTGGCTATATATCTTTTTTCTTGTTTTGACTTCAGAAGTTTTCTCGATGTATTTGCACAGAAGCCCCTCTGGTGCAGGAAATTGCGCAACAAGACAATATGCACTACTCCGAAACAATCTCAACCATCCTCGGACGGCATCAACCACCGGAAATCTCAACCACCACGGCCGGGGTCTTCACCGTCATTTCAGCCACCTCCGCATTCTCAAAGTGGCGCCCCAACGCAATCCCCACCTCCGTCCATTTCGACTGCCGGTCCATCCAATGGTCACTCAAATACATCCTTCTCACCGTTCCGCTGCTACATGCAAAGAACTCATCAAACCGGGCTGGGCCATCCAAGGTTTGCGGATCATCCGCGGCCCAAGAAGAGCCCAATGCCAACCACGTCCTCGCGGAGCGACGCCGGAGAGAGAAGCTCAACGAGCGGTTCGTCGTCCTCAGGTCCCTAGTGCCTTTCGTCACGAAGATGGACAAAGCCTCCGTCCTCGGAGACACCATCAACTACGTCAAACACCTGCACGAGAGAGTAAAGGAGCTGGAGTCGATGGCAGAAAAGGTCCGCTCTGGAGTTGACCACCACTCAATCCCGTCTGCCCGGATAAGCGGGGTCCACTACGATAGGATTGACCAGCGGTCAATCCATCATACCAATATAAGTGGGGTCCTCCGCTTTGGGATTGGCAGTCAGCCAATCCCGGAAAAAGATGGGGTCCACGCTGGGATTGATTGTCTATCAATCCCATATGTCCACAGAGGTGGGGTCCACGAGATCGAGACCGGGCGTGGTGGGAATGAAACGGGGACGAGGGCGGGGGCGGTGGAGGTTTCTATAATCGAGAGGGATGGGCTGGTGGAGTTGAGGTGCAGCTACAGGAAGGGTTTACTACTGGAGGTGATGCAGATACTTGGGGAGCTTGGGCTTGAGATCACAGCCGTCCAATCTTCTATCAATGGTAGGATCCTTTTTGCAGAATTGAGAGCTAAGGTACTCTCCCACACAGTACATATATATACTGTTGCAATACATTTTTTAAAAAAAATTTTGAAAATATTATGCATATTTTCAGATAAAAGAGAATTCAAGAGGCGGGAGGGCAAGTATTATGGAAGTGAAGAAAGCAATACATCGTATAATTCCTCGTCAATCTTAGCTATGAAACATTATATATCATATGCTCGTGAGAGTTGTGGGGTTATTTTGATGATTCTCAATAAATTTGTTTACTCAAATATGGTAAGTGACCAATTAAATACAAACAGAGAAGGTATTATATTAAAAATATATAGAGTTGAGATGAATTCATATTTGCATCTTTGTAGTTTGTACAAGTTAAATACTGAATTTTGACATGCGATGAACGTAAAGTTTTTAAAAAAGAGATGATGTAACGCATGTCAATGTAACCTTGAGGAGGAGTATTTGTCATGAGCCGATCAGCAGCCTTTCACAAACCGAATCCAAGTCCGAGACACCCTTTAGACTGCGTGAATATTTCAACAAAAAAAAGAATCAGCAAATACCATCAATATGTTGGAGCGTTAGATGCTGCAAACACGCATCATGGAGTTCACAACGGCTTGATTTAATCTCTCTTCGGGTCATTCTGTATGGATGGAAGGTTTGATTCGGCTCGCTGGCAAATTATGTTCGTATAGATGCTATTTTTAATCCTAGTTTAATCAACCTAAGCATTATTGCTGAAGGTCTGTACTAAATACACCTAGATTAAAAGAAAAATCCATTATTGGCTTTTAGGGATGAAGTCATGAAAACATTGGGAGTAAGAGAAACATCCAAACCTGTACAAAAGGCCTCCGCTTGGCTCATTCTTCTGGCAAATCCAATCTGGAACAAGTTTCTCAAGAAGAGCTAGCTGTGTTTCAACGTCACCTGAGATCGAAGTCAATAATTTCACATATTTTAATAGGGATGTAGTATATCACAAACGGTCTTTGCTCAAAGGAGAAGAGAAATTAAAGAACCATTAGCTGTTTAGGGAAAAAATATACTCCGCAATCAAAACAAATAAAAACATCTTTTTGACATACTGTTGTCGTCTATGTCACAATCGGCCATTATGATCTTGTGAAAGAGTTCTTCTTTTGTCATTGAAAAGCGGCCAACAGACTTGAAAATGTTGTGGATCAAGCGCGCAAGTTTGGGCAAACCAATGTATCTTTGCTGGTGCAGAGGCAAGCATCTCTCGTCCTTGCCAGAAAGGAGAACATTTTCCTCAACCTGTAAATCACCAAAGCAAATTGTTGGCATGCCACAAAAGTAGAAGGGTATGCAGGACGGTGGGAAAAAAAGTTTGCTTTGCGACATTTATGTTCCTAGGAGTTATTCATACGTATAAGTTAAATGGGACAGGATGCATGAAGCATGACTCTTTTTGTATAATACCATTAATTATAGCAAATACACACACACACACACACACACACACAAGTACAAATATGTATAGATCATTTAGATAAAAATATCATTCAAGTGTAAATATAAAGTTATGATCAATGTATTAATCAATTTCCCATGTTTAAATTAAAACACCATGTGTGAAGAGTGGACATATGTAGAATTTACACTGTTAGCCCTCAATTTAACACTAAAAGGTATCCATAAAATAGAGGATTAAATATGGAAAACCTTCTGACCAATTATAGAATTTACTCTTTTTTTTAAAGAAAAATTTAGAGCTGATGATAGCCAGATAATATCAGGGACTCAACCCCCAAACAGATAGTACAATCTGCAAAACATACAAGGAAAAAATATTAACTTATTATGGAAGGTACCTCAGAAGGATGTGCTCTGGCTGTGACATTGCCACTAGGAACGGTACCCTTGATTTCTTCTTTTTCAGGGAAGATAGATTTTGTGGTTTCACCCCATTCTAGATCACCCATGAGTGATCTTTTCGCAGTAAGATTGGAACCCGCCAAAGCACTTTTGGTGATCACTTTCTTGAGCTTCTCATCCCCAGTAGCAGCAGATACCGATCTCCTTGGTGTAGACTGCACGGGTGTTTCAAGCGATACACTATTACTGAGACTTTCTGAAGTAAGCTTCATAGGAGTGACTTCACACACTTTGGAGCTACCAGCAGGAGGTGGTTCTTGGACAAAGTCTTTGAGTGTATGGCTTTTGGGAGAAACTAAAAGTTCACTTTCAGTTTTGTTAGACGACTCATCATCACCATCAATAACTGAACAGGCGGATGAGACTAAAAGTTGGGTTTTCTTTTCTTCCGGAAGAACAGCCTTGACAGAGAAGTGTGAACTGAAAGACGGGGAAAGATGGGATGACTCCAATAGCTTTGTTGTTTCATGTGGGGGTAACACAGTAGAGGCTGGCAAGGAACCTGAATCTGGTTGCACTGTGAGAACGCTTCCCATTAATGGCTCAGGAAGTATAGCTGCCGGAATGTCACTCACCTGGTTTGATGAAAAACAAAAGGTTTAGGGGAAAAACTCATTGAAAAAGGAAAAAATATAATGTGCAAAATAATTACCTCAGGGTGTTTAACAAATAAGTCAATGAGCTTCGCCCGGAAAACATTGCTGACATGGATAAATACTGATTGTTCACGGTCGTCTTCCAAAGCATCAGCATGCAGTGTAACTTTGAGATCAGGCTTCACGCAACATGTCTTCTCGTCATGCATGCGTACTTTATCAATATGAACCACTTCAGGAAGTATGTAAATTATTTTTGCAAGGTCCCCATAGAGAAACTTTCTGATAAAAACATATTTAAAAGAAAGATCAGCACCATATCAAGTGAGAAAGGAAAAAAAAGTCTTAAGTTTGTTCAAGAAAAGATTAATGAGAGCCAGTCTAAACCTTCCTAAGTAAATTACTCAATAATATTGAAAATGAAAGGCCTTCCAATTTTTTTACAAAAAAAGGAAAATATATATTCCGTAATTTACTACTCCTGTTTTAGGTATATGGGGAATAAGAAAAGAGAGCAATAAAGCTACCTTCCAGTTTGGACTTCTACTTGAGTGGAAATGTGTTTAAAAGTAGTTGGCTTTTTACGCAGACTAAGCAATCTCAGGGAACACACCATGCGATCAAATAAATCCAACAAGGCCTTGAAACTGAGTAGATTCAAAGAAACACCTCTACATTTCAGTCATGATTATTCATGTAATAACAAACAAAAAAGAGAAATTCATAAGCACCATACTTCTCAAGGGTAAAAAAAACATACTTCTCAGGAAGTTCAGAAACATCTTTTCTGTGGTTAACGCGAGACAACTCGGTCATTTTCTCTGGTGTTGAAGATGCAAAACTTGTCCCTAGATGTTCGCCCTTCGCCATTCCACTCTTTTGTGATGATATAGGAAACAGGATGATATGATCTTTCAAATCCATATTACCATGTTCTCTACTTTCATGATCTGTGTGTTCCATACTTAACACAACAGTATCGAACAGAAAATGAAAACCTTAAAGGCCTGAAATATGATGATGAAACCTTCAGAAACACGGATTAGTAGAGAACAGAATGAAAGCATATACCTAAATACATATGGAGTACATTACAGAAAGAATTATTTTTAAAATATACAGTATAAACTTAATGTATTTGGTTTATATTCTTCTCTTGACCGATTCTAAATCATGAAATCAGTTGTCTAATTCTTTTGTTGTTTCTGAAGAATCACACAGTTGGTTATTTCTTTCTAAAATCAAATTCTAGACAAATACAAGACCAACTGATTCTAGCTGGTTTTAAGAATCAGAAATGGCAGAGTCTGCAAGAATCTAAACCAAATGCACTCTAAAAGATCATTCAGAATTTTCTCAAGTAAGTTATGGGCCAATATATTCACAGAAACCTTCTGGTGATGAGGGTTCAAACTCCTATATATTTCAGTATGGGGTTGGTCAATCAATGGGGGGCAATTTTTTTTAAAGCGAGAAGCGCACAAAAGAAACAAGTGAGAATTTTCTTAAATGCAAAAGGACTGATCCAAGCGTTGCTTTACCACAAAATGTGACAGTGTGCCACTTGAATTTAAAAATGTGATGCAATTTTAAAGCAACAACAGGTTTTTTTAAGGCAAACAACAGAATGTAAATAGTCATAAAACTGATAAAACTAAGCCAGGATAACATAAAACTATCATCAAATAGAGTCCTATTACCATCAAAGTAACCCTAACATTGTGTTTCTAATAAAGGAAGGGATGGGGGAGTAGTATAAAAGGGAGGTAGGAAGAGGATGATTTCTTGTTTGGATTAGAAGTTCTATGAAGAGATCATTCTCCCTTCACACCATTTTACCCCAAATTGGAGGGATTGAAAATAAAGAATTTGGAAGGATCGTCCCTTCAAATCCCTCACTCCTCATTTACTCCCAAAACAAACAAAGAAAAATCCACTCCTCTCCCTTAATCCACCTCCCCTTCCCCCCATTCCTCTCAATCCAAACGCATTGTAACTGAGAGGGGAAGTGAAAGCAATCCTAAGAGCAAAGCAATAGAGAAATCGAACTAAGAATGTGATACAAAGACCTAATAAGTTCATAAAGGATAGGATTCCTAGGAAATACCCACAATCTAAAGTTCCCAAACAATTGAGAATCCCAATTTTTCGCTGTCATTACTGAGATTTAGAGCCGTTTGGCGTTTCTTTACACCAGAAGCACACAACATGCTGTTATGCCAATGAATTTTTTAGAAAACCCTTGACAAAATAACCTTGGAAAATCAATCAAAAAAGAATGAAGGAGACAACTTGTATGCAGGAAAGTTTGATGCTTTATTCACCATAAAATCATTTGAGAAGAATTACAGAGAAATCAAAAGCAAGATCCATGGAGGAGTAGCGATTGGACAATGCCTTACAGCAGAAGAAATCGCGCCAAGAAAACGAGATATGAAGATGAGGATTTCAAAAACCTGAACTTTGGAGAAGAAATTTAGTAGTCGCAGGAGAAGCTGCTAGAGTGAGAAGGTGAGTGAATTGACCATCTTTGAGATGCTGATTATATGAACGAACCCTAACGGCTATGTAGGTATGGCAAATGATATAGAGTAGAGTTCTGATTTAAATTTTAGAATTAATCTTTTATAATCTCGGTTTTGTGATAGATGTTTTTCTATATTTAGTATTTTATTATTAAATATTACATCCGATATCCTTATATGAATATTTTTACGAGAATAGTTCTTTGAGTACTAAAAATGTAATTTCACAATCATTACATATTTTTCTTTTCATATTATTGTCAAAGGTCATCGTTGATACATCGTTTCTTCAATTGAATCGTTGTCTACTACAACTATAGTTTAGAAAAGTCATTTTGGTCGAGATCCTAATTTATAATCATTATTGTTGTGTTGTCCGTCAAATCGATATCAAAATATATCACTGGGATGATCTAAAATTATATTTTTGACCTTAAAATTAAGGTCAATATGACAAAATTTTAATAAAAATATTGTGAAAAAGTGTCCATAAAAAATGATCATGGCATAACATTTGATAATGGGGACTACATATAGAAAACTCCATGCAGAAAATTACTATTAGGTACCCTAGGTTTTGTGGTAAAGACTTTGAGGTTCTAAATTATCAAAAATTACTTGAGGGTCCTCTAAAATTTAATGTTTAAGACTGGTGGGGGGTGTTTCCGTCTAACCAATCGTCAACCCACCGTCAGTAGAAATGATTTATCTATTTTACCCTTATTTATTTCCTAAATAAATGGTGGCCTCAAACCTTCTTACCATATCCAGTTGCCTTCCCCCTGCTCTCTGTTTAGCATGTCCAACAACCTTCTTCCCCATCAAAGTTATTGACCCTCTTCTCTATGGTATGGAATGCTCAGACTCATCATTATTATTGTAGATGTTTTTTTTACGCTGAGACCAATTTTTTTTTTATGTTGCGAATAAACAAATGGTTGAACCAAGCTGAGATGAGGTTTTTCTCAAATCTCATTGTCATCTTTACGTAGACTTTAAATTTCAGCCCATGTCTGGCTTTTAATGGTGTGGTTAATTCACTCCATATTTGCCAATTTTTTCAGTGGAATAATCTTCAGAAAAGTATGCCTCCAGTTCATGCTGAGAAAAAAAATTCCTGAAAATTATATAATTTTCTCTATGAATCTCTTTCTATCTCTACCTTAAATTACAATTTTAAAAATGTGTATTTTTTTAATTTTTATCCTCAAGTGTCGAAATTACTTTTAGGAACAAATATCTTAATTTGCAAACCGAAACTTTAAGTTAAAATCGATTGGAAAAGAAAAACTATAATAATAATAACAAATAATTAAGATATGTAGAAAATAAAAGTTTGAGAATAAAAGATTATAAGATTTAAGAGAAACACCTCCAAGATTTAGGAGAAAAAATTTGAAATTTTATAGCAGTAGCTAAGCTCTTGATGTTGGTTATTTGTAGTGGCAAAAGGAGGAAACTAACTGGAAACAACCTCTCTTTCTTAGCATAAGGACATGAACAGTTGTTCTAGATTGAAATGGGTGGTGTTGAATTTAATTTGAAGGAGAATAGTGGGGGTTATAATGGGAATTGCAAAGGTTTATTTATTAGAGAAAACGGCATCTTGGTTCCTAACGGAGGGTTAGATGGGAACACCCCTCTCAGTTCTAAACATCTAATTTTAATGGACCCCTGAGTAATTTTTGATAATTTGGGACCTCATAGTCTTTACCACAAAATCTAGGGTATCTAATAGTAATTTTCTGAAACTCCATGTTATTTTGATCCAACTTAAAGAGATGAAATCATTTTACACAAATTGGCATAAAGTCAAATTATTTTGTGCAATTTTTTTAAATAATTTTTGTGGCATCCAGTGGGTTTTCTCAATGCCCACTTCCTCCCAAATTAAGTTACCCGGAGTATTTGTTTGTTTCTTACAAGATTAATTTTCAATTATTTTCTTTTTCTATTTTTATTATTTATTTGATAAAAGAACATAATCATGTCACTTCTTATTTTGTGCAGCTTTTGATGTAAGTTTTTAATATGTAAAAATTATTTTTAAATTCTGCTCTAGATCATTAATAAACTGTATTGAAAATAATTTAAATCAAAACAAATAAATTAAATTTTGACTGAATATAAAATTCTGCAGGCCGTACTTGCACTTGATAAAGCTACGATAATCTTGTCCTCCTTCCGTCACAAATTAAAGTACTTATTTATTATTCACAAGTCAAGTCTCATTCATTTTTTTTATCAATTTTCGTTAGTCATTTGATAAAACAAAATAGTCATGTCACCACTAATTTTGTAAATCTTTTGATGTAATATTTTAACATATAAATTTTAAATTTTTTAGTTCTACACCATTTTCATACAAAATAATTTGAAAATAATTTTGATTAAATATCATAAACTGAAATAGACAATATAAACTGAAATGGAGGGAGTACTAAGTACAAGCAAGAGATAACATGAAATAGTCAATGCATATTATTGAGATATAGGTCCTCATTAATAGCATTTCCAACACTACATTTAACTTAAACGTTTTAAGAAGCCAAACTAACAATAGCTTCCAGATTTAGCATCTTGCAAAGTTAATCTACTCCATTAAAAATTTATCTAAAACATTAACTTTAATCGAAAAAGCTACTTCCAAACAAAGCCTCTTCTTAGAGTGACAGTAGGAGCAAACAGTGGCTCAAAAATTGAACAAACCTACATATAATGATATACACGACCAAATTCCAAAACAGAGAGAAACACATAAAGAAGGCTCTTCTAAAACAGCACACGAACATGCAGAGAGGAAAACCTGCAAAATCTGATGAAAAAAGGCTGTTGAATAATGTTCTTCCAAGCATATCATGCACATACACCAAAACCTATCTTTCCACTTTATAGAAAAAAGGTGGAAAATCGGGTAACGATTTTGTAACTTGTTGTGGTGTGTGCGCTGTGTGTGTTGCTCAAGATGGTGGTCTCTTGGAAACAGCCTCTCTAGTTTCACACCCTCCCCATACCCTACTTTCGTGGTTGTTGGAAAAGGTAAACGTGTTTTTTGGTTTTTTTTTGTTTTTATAAACTTCGAAGGAAAGATACTTCGTCCGTAAAGAGTCCACGTCGATAAGTGTACATCTCTTAAAAAGCACTAAATATACTTATATAAATATATCTCTAATCAGAGTGAGAAACATGACTCTTTTTATGGGATGGAGGGAGTAGTAAACATGTTTTCTGCTTTCTACCATCAAGTTTTGTAAGCACAAAACATTTCCAGTTAGTAAACAACTATTATAATTTTCATGGCATATAGGAGTAATATTCAATCGGAGAAACCAACTTTCTTCTCCAAGTATTGTGTATGAAAGATAAAAAACAGATTACTATGAAATAAATGAAGCGAATGGGGAAAAAAAGAGTGCTTACAGAAACAAAATTGCAGAAACAATGATCAGCCCAGCATTTCTCCATCTGGGCCAGTAACCATCCTCTCCAAGTCTTCTTGTGATAAGAGTGTTTTTTTACCCAGAGCTCCACTTTTATCATATGGCTGGCCCATTCTACGTAGGAACTGCATTATGAATGGGAAATTGGGGATATCCAATCTGTCAGTTCTTTTTTGCAATTTTGGGAAATATTCATCATTAAGATCCATTAGGTGAAAGAAAATGAGTAAATAACGGCATTTGTGTACAATACCTCCTTTGCTATATGAATGGCCATATCTGTGCTTAAGTTCAAGTGTGCATCACGTAAATGTGCTAGTATCCATCCTGGCAACTTAGATCGCTTGTCATGCCGACTATACCTGAATGCATCGGTCATCCGTACACAAATATCCATTACGATTTGAGAGTGAAATAGTGAATGAAGGCATACTACTGCGCAAAACACTTGTTGAGTTCGGATTGGCATATAAGAAGTCAAATGCTCACAAACCTCTTATCTGCAAAAATCATCATCCCATAATCTGCCTTTGAACGGATAACTCGGCCTACACACTGTGCAGCTTGCCTCTGAAGGGTGGAAGCTATATTAGACACACACACACACGTACACACATGCACAGAGCTACAAATATAAACCAAGGGTACCAGAGCATCAAATGTGAGAAAATCGCCCTCTTTAATCTGGAAAGTCTCCCTTAGATACTCCAGTCTTGCTAGCAGTATTCTGCAATTTAGAACTTTGTCAGAGGCAGGTGGCATGCAATCAAGCAAAGCGTGATGTTTCGGGATGAAAATATATTTTTTGGTATACCTGCTTAGTGTGTACTGGAAAGGTACACCAAACATGATCACAAGCCTCCCATAGTGTCTATCAAAGTCTATACCTTCTGCTACTTTCCCCCTGAGATGGGTAAAACAATGGCATAATAAGACGAGCTATTGCTGCATTTTTTCTATGTAGGGATAAAATCTATTTCCTTACCCTTAATAAAATTTGCAGCTAAATTGTAAATGATTGGAGCAAACTTAACACAAATATCAAACAATACTCACTTTTAATAGATATTACGAAGTATTAAGATTATCGGTAATAGTTAGTGATTAGAGGTAATGCAACTGAAGTAGAAATACGATAGAGTCATAGAGGTCAATTACAATTCAAATATTAAAAATATCTACCTTGCCACAGAGAAGAAAATAGCACCTCTACCGCAATCACAAGCGCGACGATAATTATCCAAAGCCAATGTGGTCTCTACGACATCTTGGGTCTCAATGAAGACCAGTTTATGTTTCATTATACCCTGTGGCATGAAATTGTGATAAGTGTTTGTTTGGATGGGATTTTTCGAGGGGGGGAGGCTTTGGATGGCCTCCAAAAGCAAATAAAGGATGATTGTAATATTGTATTATGGCATAATTTGGTCTCCTTAAGTTTTTACACACACGCAACCTCCAAAGCCCTTCAAAATACAATTCCAAAACTGACCCTAAGACAAACGAGCGAGATCAAAAGAAAAATAAAAAGGAAAAGATTCACACCCGTACATTCCAAGAACAACAATAACAGCAATAAGAAATGAATTTGTACAGAAAATGGAATAAAGAAAATTTCATCTACGTAAAAGCAATAAAATAAAGCAGAACATAGGTTCTTACCTCTAGAAGACCTGAATTGTGCCAACTATTGACTATCCCATCCATATAAGAGTAACTCACAAAGAAACAGACAATCCCATCTGGAACAACAGATGCCATTTCTAACAAGAGCTTCCCATAATTTTTCTCAACACCAGGATCACTTCTTAAATCATATTTTGTACTCACAGGAAGCTGATCACTGGATTAGAGAAATGGAAAAGTGCAGAACTTGCTTAAATCAAATAAGCAGTACCACATGTACTCTAGGACATTAAGCTGATAAAAAGGAAAGTTAAAGGTTAAAGGTTGATTGATTACCTTCCCCGCGTGAGAACCATAGGACATATGCAATCCCTCGTCAATGACATTTTAAAACTTCTAGTACATACAGGATTGAAGTTGAGAAGACGAGGGTAAAGATCAATTGGGCTGAGTGTCCCAGAAGTAATAACAACTGATTGGAAACGTTCAAATACAGGTTTTATGGCAATTGAGGCATCATGACAGCTCAACTGGGATGTCAACACAATGTTTTCCCATAAGAGCACCCCAAAGTAAGATGAAGAAGACAAGTCAGTCCAAAAACAGAAGAAACAAACTAGTATCAGATGTATCTCAAAAAACATATACATATCCACATTGAGCTAAAACAAGCCATATTATGGTGAATATGATTCTGAGCTACCGCCTTTTATGTATAGAATACTTTAATGTTAAACAACTGGGTCATTTTACTTGAAAGTAAATCCATTTTAAAATCACACCTGAAGAACAGGATCTGGGATGTCTGGCATTCTCTCATCAAAAGGTTCGATTATAATCGAGAATCCTCTTGTGTATGTTCCTACTAATGTTGCAAGGTCACAAACAGTTTGGATATGTAAAAAGTCATCAGTATCAGTTATCTCCAGAGTCATCATAAGTGAATGAAGCCTGTCATAACAAAATCTCAACATTTTCTGGTCAATTCCAGCTTGCGAATTGATTGAAGCCACAAAGGAAACAGGTCCCTCCTTTTCAACATTCTCGGCTTGTAATCTTCCTTTAAGGTACTGAACAAGTCTCCGCAACACGGACAAGAAATGCTCCGCTCGCCTTATATTCCCTGGCACTGCTTCCTTCAAGATATCATCTGGCAATGCAGGGTTTGCAAGCCATGCATCCGATACTGCACATCGGAGCGTTGTAAGTATGGAGCCCGTCCCTACTATTAAACTGGATCTAACTAATCTCAAAAGGGCCTTAAGCGGTGAGGCTTACCCCAACCTTTTGTACTAGACCCAAACCCAAAAAAAATAATGTGGAATACTACCACAACCCCTAAGCTCAAAACAGGTTTAAACACCAAAAATGTGGACAATCAATCCCCAATCAGCCTGTCCCAAACTATCAGGAGTCAGCAGATGAGAGTCAACGATAACATGTTAAACTAGACCTAATTCGCCTCAAAAGAATTATTTATATCGAGTTTATTCCTCACAATTACATGTTCAACTTAAAACTAGTGGAAAACGGGGACAAGATACTAAAGATTTACCATTAAAAATTAAAAAACATGATGAGTTGAACTTACTAGGTAGGTTCCCCCTCTGTGCAAGACCATCAACTAGACGGTTGTACTCTGCACGCAACCGACCAGCATCTGTGGCCTTCAACCTTCCTACCATATGTCAACCAGAGTTCAAAATGAATTGGATTGGAATTGTCAGGACTCAAGTGAAAGCATTTAAAAAAATAGAATAGAACAAGCACTTATCATAAGCATGTGTGAGGGCAAAATGGCCTGACATTGCCCAAAGACAAGCTTCTTGAACAACAAAACATTTACCTATCAATCTCTTGTTTCATCCTGCTTAGATTCCTTGTCGCCCCCTCAAGTGTCTGCCTCCTCACACTGACACTAAGTGCCTCAATACATACATTATCAATGTTGTGAGCCTCATCAAACACCACAACACACTCTTTCTGCATCTCCTTTGATATGATTCCAGCAACTTTTGGGTCAAGAAGGTATTGGTAGCTATAGACTATCACATCTGCTCGTTGCACCATATGGCGTGCTAAAAAGTAAGGGCACCAACCTTTCTCTTTACCAAAAACCTTGAGGTCCTGCAACGATGGTTATGATTCACGATTACGAAATTGAAACCTACAGAAAGTATGTGAAATTTAACAAATCAGTTTTTTTATTTAAATCTATTAAGAAAAGCATTTAACCAATTCAAATGGATGCCTGAGGTGATATAGAAATAATACATTATTGCATGATAATAAAAAATAATGCAGGAAATCCCAGTAGAGCAGTAATCTGTAGCCTAAATCCAAGGAGTTACAAATGCTAAAAGAAAATAGGAAGCTTAATGTATCGTATTGAGTCAATCAGTTTTTTACCATATCCAAAACATTGTAAAAATAACTTTTTTTAGCTCCACTACCAACGGAGGCAATATACAATATTGAATGATAATAAAATATAAAAAAACTAATGCAGGAAATCTCAGTAGAGCCGAAGAGCAGTAATATGTAGCTTTAATCCGAAGGGTTAAGAATGCTAAGAGAATATAGGAATGAGAAAAATTCCATACCTGCAAAGTATAAACCCCAGAAGGCAAAGAGGCATCGGCAGACGCCCTCTCGTAATTCTCAAAAAATGGACAAGAAGGGACGCTAGGATTTTCCGCAGCTAGGGCGCGGACCCAACTGGCAGTGAGCTTCCGGCAGGCAGCATCAACAGAATCCCTATTCTCGGCCGAAACCACATCCGGATTAACACACAAATTCTTCCTGGAAGACAAGCCAATGGCGAGCATTTTAGCTCTATCCCCACAATTTTTAAGCTGATATTGATACAGAGCCTTGAGTTCAGCCAAAGTTTTCTCCATCTCATGAACAGTTCGAGTGCAATAAAGGAGCTTAATCCTGTCGGACGGCTTGGAGAGCTGATAACTGGTGATCAACGACAGCAAAGCTATGGTTTTCCCCGTGCCGGTTGGCATCTCAAGAAGGCAGTGGCCTTTAGCATCTAGGGCACGTTTAAGCTCCAGCATATACTGGTACTGTTCCGGGTATATGTTGTCGTATGGGAAATACACCTCCACGCCTTCGATTTGGAACTTCATCTTCCTCCGTCTTCAAAATTAACCGCCAAACAATGTACTTATCAATCATTTTCGGAATATTGATAAACAATCAAATAAGAAGCATGAAATTTAATTGAAATCAACACTATTGCTAAGAAATCAACAAGAAATATCAAATATCTAAAGAAAAGATCATTTATTTGGAGTTACCTGAGAAGAAAGTGCGGGATTTTCTTCAAATTTGAGGCTACTGGATTCTACCGTCCTCCTCCCTCTGACAGAGGTTTTGGGCGACGAAGATGGGGGCGCTTGGGCAACGTTGGGCTACTGCTACTTTAGCGCTTCGTTGTATGGTAGAGAGTAGAGACGAAGAAGATGACGATGAAAGCTGGGCTGGATTTTGGCCGTTGGGCTTCCGCTTGTCCGACTAAACGAGAAAGCTTTGGGCTGTCATCTAACATTTGTTACTAGTGTTAGGTTTGGACTTTGGCCCAAACTCAATCTCTTTTTTTTAACTTGAGTTCCAATTAGGCCTACATTAAAAAAATTCCAAAATAAAAAAATTTGTAATTTGGGTTAGAGAAAAAAGAATACGGAAATGAAATAAGTAAAAGGAATACGAGTGCCAAAGACCCCAAATGAGAGGATCATATGTTCGATTCCCAGTACGGGTAATAATTATATGAGTTTTAATAAGTTGAGAATGCATGAACAGATACTACATTCTAATACTACATTCTAATAGAGTTATTAGTGTTTAAAAAAAGAAATATGAGTTGTACTTTTGTAATCCTAAAGTCCACATGACAAATATGAACTTCCTTACATTTTTCAAAGGTTTACAAGTAGATCTTTTATCTTTTATAAAAAGTTTGATTCTTACATGGTATTTATGTACTTAAGTCCATAAAATGAGTATGTACTCAAATATTACGTAAGTATTTGCCGAGAAGATACCATGTTAATATTTATGAGTGAAAATTTTAAAGCTGGCATGCATGTGTTATTTTAAGAAATGATTAACGAAAATAAATTGAAGAAGAAGAAAAATAATTAATTGGTGAGTACTGAAGTGAGAAGATTAACCAGGATGGAAAGAGCAATTAATACTCTTACTATTTGTATATGCCCAAACTATCAAACCTCGCAGTATTGGTTAAAGAAGCCCAAGTGAGGTAGGTCGAGTTGTTTACATGACTCGAATGTGATGTCGTTTCAAAAGATTTTTAAATTTAAGGACCCAACTTTACTAAAATTTGTCAGTTTTGTATCGTTGTTAAGTTGCTAACGGCAAGCTATCAAAACGGTCAGTTTTGCATAACAAAATGAAAGTTAAAATTATATTTTATTAATCTTCATTTTTTAATTTTTTTGAAATTTTTATTTAAATTTTTAAATGACTTTCTACCCCCATCTCTTTTTATTTTTTTAAATATTAGTCTTACCTTTGAAAAAATTAAAAAAATAGATATAAAAAATAAAGAAAATGATAAAAATAACTAAAATCATACAAAATTAATGAAATAAATAACGTAATCAATATGAGGGTTCTAATCCTTTTTTTAGTTATTCTTCTTATTTTTGTAATTTTTTATATTTACTTTTTATTTATATTCAGAGTTAGACTAATCTTTAAAGAAAGAAAAAGAAATGATGGAGGTACAAAATTATTTTAACTATTTAAATGAAAATTTCAACAAAAATATAAAACGAAAAATCATAAAAAATAATCCCAACTTTCATTTTGTCGCACAAAATAGATCGTTTTTGTTAACCCGTCGTTAATAAATTAATGATGACCTAAAACTCGCAAATTTTAGTAAAGTTGTGATTATTATGCATCATAGTGAAAGATGAGATAATTTTTGAAAAATTGGGTAAAGTTATAATTATTCTGGATTATTTTTCTTATAAATTTAATTACGTTATTCTTCATTTAGATAATGAATTTGTGCCTAGTAACAATTATCTCCCATCTAAACAAATTCTAATCATACATTTTTTACTTTTCAACAACTTTTTTAAAATCTCTAATGGTGTGTTTGAAAGCTTGAATTTCGATCAAGAAATCTCTCTCGATAGCAGTAAAAAGTATGAAAATATCAAAATAGGAGTCTCGAGTCTTTTAAGACTAAAATAGGAGTATAATGGTAGTGTTGTATAAGAGTATATAGTATGTGTCAGCAGTGTGATGGAAAAGTGATGACAGTGTGATCAGTCAACCATCAGCGCTCCACAACGGCATTCTAGTGGCTGGCGGCGAAATATGGCAGTGTATGTTGCGATGGCAATGTGACAATTACAATGTGGTGAGTATTGTTTACGCCTATATAGGCTGTTTTCCGATTTGGATTTCAAATCTGGATTTGACCGAAATTAAATTTCTTGTTTGGAATTCAAAGAATTTGGATTTGGATTTGAACTTAATTCTTCTAATTCAAAGTTTACTCAATTAGAAATCTACATCTCTTCTCAAGTAATTTACAAATTCAAGTTTGATTTTTATTTAATTTATAACTCGTAATTAAAGATTGACATCTCGCTGTACATCAACAATCGTATAAATATCAACCCGCTTGTGTTATCGTCTTTGTCGATTACAAAAATCAAATTCTAGAATTCAAAAAATTTAAAAAAAAAATGATTTCCGATGAATTCGAGCTCTCAAACAGTTGGTAAAGTTAAAGCGTCGGGAATTTTACGAGACGGAAGTAGTACGATCATAGAACATAATGAGAAAAAGGAAGACTAGTGATATTACTCTATAGCTATGGTGACGAAGGGTGGATAGAAGATCGACAAGAATCGAGAGAATGGATTGGGATTGGTGGAGTACAAGCCATGTACGGAGCACTAAGGAGGCAACTATGAATGCTCCCNATTCCGACAACGCTTGGGGCGGTGGAGCCACCACCTCCCACGGCGGAGCCACCATGTCACACCAAAAAGGTCATTATTGGGGGATGCGTGTCCTCCCCCTATGCATGCATCCCAAAACTCTTTTCAAAAACACTGCAATTCTTTTTTTCTTATTACTCCCTCCCTCCCAAATTATATATTTGCTTTTTCAAGCGAGAACTTTTATTTATTTCTACGTTTTCATTTGTTATTTGATAAAATAAAATATTCTTGGCACCTCTTATTTCGAAGAACTTTTCATGTATTTTTTTATATGTGCTTTTTATTTTTTATTTCTTTACCAATATGTAAATAAAATGAATTGAAAAAACTTGATATTTTGCTTCAGTAATAGAAATATGACAAATAATTTAAAAGGGAGAGAGTATTATTATTAGGTAGGTTTACAAAAGATATATCGTCACTATACTATAGCTAGCTAGCTAAAACCCCTTTATGTGTTTGGACTAATGGTTTCCTCCAAAACTTTATGAAAAGAAAAAAACACTAGTACGTACTAGGCTACTAGCTAGCTAGCTAACCTCAAAGGACTCATGCATGCATGTGGTGTGTATTAGTTTGGTTAGGTAGATTGATCGTCACATACTATATTCGTCCCCAATTTGATTGCAAAATCAAATTGAGATTTACGAGAAAAAATATCTTACTTTTTGAAATTATTTTATTTATAAATAGAATATATCTATAAGATATAAGAATTACGTATTAAAAAATTACGTTAAAATTAAAGTTCTACAAAACAAAAACCACCAAGAATATTTTATTTTATCAAACACTTAATGAAATCACAGAAACAAACAAAAAAAATATCGAGAGGACAGAGAAAACAAATTGTAATCAAATTGGGAACGGAGAGCGTATTATATTCCCCAAGCTAATAAGGTGCATCTAAGTTCGATTATTTCGGTTCGGTTTAACGTATTTTTTTAAAAGAAATAAAAAAGTAAGATTAAAAAACGGAGCATTGTTTTGTACTCCATCTGTCCCAATTTAAATTTTCTGTTATATATGTTTTACGATGTGTGACTATATTTATTTTTAAATCATTTTATATGAAAAATAGTACACGATTTTTAAAAAAATACATATTTAAAAACCAAATCTGAAGATCTACAAAACTAGTTATGACATGATTATATTATTTTATCAAATGACTAACGAGAATATAGAAAAAAATGAATAAGGCTTAACCATGTGAATAGTAAACAGACCATTTAATTTGCGACGGAGGAAGTATAATACTCCGTAACATGTAAAAATATACTCCGTAGTCCGTAGATATCTTTCCTTGTATTCAATTTAGTTTAATTTAATCTTAAAATAAATTAATGTTGAATGGTTCAATAAAAGAGGCGAGAGGATGGCTTCGGCTCTAGCCGAGGTGGGGTTTACCGGAGATTAAGGGGATGTATAGATGCCATCAATTTTATAACCAGAAGTGCTCGAATAGAAACCAATGTCAATGTCAAGAAATTGGGATGTAAAAACTAAAAATTCTGTTATAAAAATTTGTTTAGAATACGGTCTGCATTTTAAAAAAACAAATTAAATTAAATTCTGGTGATTAGACTTTTTCCAAATACTCCTTCCGTCCCGTTATATTCGTCCACTTTTGACTTTTAGAACTGTTCATCTAAGCACTTTGACTTATCAAATTCTCTCAATGTGTAAGCCTAAATATAGTCATGCATGATCTTGTTTGATTTGTCTTAACATATAGATTATTAATATATAACTTCTATAATTTTTTAATATACAAATTACAAGATAAAATGGATTAAAGAACTGTATTGGATGGTGTGCAAAAATGAAAGTGGACAAATATAGTGGGACGAAGGAAGTATTAATCAGGCTCCCTATACAAGGCCTCCCGGCCAAGAATTTAGAAGAGAAAAAGGTTTTGCCTAGACCTGGCAATTAGTTTGGTTTTGGTTCAATCAGATTTGGATCTAAATCGGGTTTGAGTACATTCAATTCGGTTCGGATCATTTTAGATTTTCGGATATAATTTGGTTCGTCAGTTTACGAGTCATTCCAGATTAGATTATGGGTTATTCGATTCCGGTTATCAGATCCGTGTCTATTTTGCCAAGTCTAATTTTGCCTTAGTCATAATATAGAAAAATAAAGAATGCTATGGAGTACTTAATTAAACACTGTAAAATGACAATATACGCACTATAAAATGACAATATACGCACTGTAAAATGACAATATACGCACTGTCATAGTGTAGAATTTTACAAGTAACTTTTATTTTTGTGAGAATCCATCATCCAAAGTATGTAGTCAATGCAAACACCCCTCACTAATGGATCACTATAGTGTCTCGATATGTCTCAAAAGATGATATATGATTGAAAGAAGGGAATTGAAAAACAACAAGGATTAAACTATTTGTACTCCAAAATTTGTACCCCACAGGTATGCACTGACATTTTGTGCTAATGTGATGGTTTACATTGATAGAAAATACCAGTGCAAATTTTTTTGAGTGAACTAACATTTTGTGTCAGTGTGAATCATGGGTGGCCCGGAGGATGTGCAAAGTGGCCAATCACACAGAGCTCCTAAAATTTTAGGGTCCCATATTTTTAAATTTTGGGGTTAATTTTAATGCATATTCTAAAGAATAAAACGGGACCCAAAATGTAAATTTTAGGCCGCGCCAATTTTATTTTTTCATTTTTCGGTACCAGGCATGCACTGTGAATCATTAAAATGTAGATGCATTTTTTTGAAGTACAATTAGAGTATACTTTACCTCTACCATGCTTGGAATGACAAAGAAAACGCACGTCCATGCAAAGAACTAATAGGAGAGGCCGAACAGTCTTTTATTCAATTAGTATTTGACTCCGCAAAGAAAGTGACAAAGAACAAATGCTTATGAAGATTTGCAATGGACAAAGGAAAAAAAAGTAAGTATTTGTATGACTTTTACTCTTAAAAAAAAACTCATTTATGATCTACTATGATTATGATGGAACGTATACTTTTTCCCTCTTAAAAATACTATTAACACACCTTATTACTATATAAAAATGTCTCTTTTACCCTTAATTAATTCCCCTATTTTGAATATTTTCAATCACGCACGTATCATCCCCGTGTAGTCGTCGTGTCTTCTACCTCTATCAAGGCTTCCTCCTCATGCGCCATCAATTGTTGATTCGCTGCCTCCAACTTCATCGGACGGAGAGAGTAGCAAGTATTTGTCAAAATTATCTTTTCCATAGTTAACAACGATATATACCGTATATATTTAAAATTTTAAAAAAGCACATGTGCAAGGAGATAGAATGCAAAGAATATATATTAGAGTATATATTGTGAAAAAAGACTAAATTAGAAATAAGATATCGGGTTAACATCACCTATTACTCTTGTAAAAGTTAACAAACATGAGTTTCATATTATTATCAAAATGGAAGTTATAATTGTAATAATGTTATCATATATTACCAATGAATATTATGAAGTGGCAACATAGGTACATTGTCACATTGTCACATACAGTGCAAACACATCACTCATATTTATGGATAAAGAATATGTCTTCCACCTATTTTAGGTTATTTTCCAAATATAACTCGTACCTTCCATTTTTTAAAACGGTTTCTATTTTAACTTTTGACAGATTTACTTTTGCAATTTGAAGTTCTAACTTAGTGTCGAAGAGAAAAGAAAGACAAATCACTTTATTAATTTATCATATCAGTCCAAAATAGATAGAATATACTCCTTCCGTCCCATGAAATCTTTCTCCTTTTTTTTTATCCGTCCTATAAAACACTTCTCATTTCTATTAAAAAGTCACTTTTACCTCTTACTTTTTCATACCCTAACTATCACATCATACCTTTTTACTAATAATCTATCCATCAAATCATACTTTTACACATCACATCAAAGGACATTTTTGGAAATTCAATACTAAAATACACTTCCCTTAAATCCCTCCTAAAAAGCAAAAGTCTCATGTTTCATGGGACGGAGGGAGTATTACAATGACTTTTTTTTAATATATTAGTCATTTTTTCTCAAAAACAAAAATGTTTTTTGAAAAATAAAGCAAGAAATAAAAGAACAAGTCTTTAAAAAAACAATTAAGAGATTTCAAATTAAATAGGGATTAATCATTAATAATAACACTACATTAATAATCTATTGGATAAAAATATTAGAATCTTTCAACCGTACACCCGCATAGTAACATATGGTACACCTAACACCGTACCGTAGAACTTTCCTTTTTTTTCAAACAGAACAATTTCAGAAAGAATATTCCAATTATTTCCAACACATTCCAAGTCATCGGATTGTGGGGCCCAAAACCACAAATGACACTTCATCAAGAAATGGCCACGTAACAGGACGGCTGGGACCCAGTCCAGCTGATGTGGTTCCCGTTGTTGCGACGATCAATTTCCATGCACCTGCTCTTCGCCGCCGCCGCCGAGGATGAAATAACGGCGTCACCGGCGGCGTCAAGGCATGCGCCGCCCTTCTCTTCTCCCTCTTCATCTCCTTCATTTTCCTCTCCAATAAGATTGTTACTTTTATAATCGCCGGCGTTTTTGAGCCACAGCCGGAGCCTCCCGCCGGACCTCTCCGTCACGAAGGAAGACACGCACACCGTAACAGCCGTCATGACCAAACGGCCGCCGTCACGGCGGGGCCTCACCTGGACCCCATTGCACCCGCTCATTGAAGAGAGGGGAGGCGGGAAGCTCCTCGGAGTCCGGTTACTAGCTTTCCTCGACCTCCGCCCCCCGGCGCTCGAGGACGGCGGGGACTTCTCGTTCTCCAGCAAGAGCGAGAAAAGCTCGTCGACGCTCTCACAAATGCGGGCCCCATTTTCACTCCCGAGGCCCTCTGTGCACATCTCGAGATTTATTCTCCTCGGAGGTGGACAAGAACGCCTCGGGAGTGGTGGGATGTCGAAGATTCCCGCCGACACCGGCAATGCATTGTTGTTTCCGAGCTCCTGGAAACTTGATGCTGAGTTCATTTTCTTTCCGTGTAGGATCAAAATAATGTGACAATGATAATAATAATAAATTAAAATGTGACTTATTACTATATACTTTGGATTTTATGATGATATATTGAGTTGAAATATTTGAAGAGAAGAAGAGGAGAAATGGAAAATTAATGAAGGAGTTGGAATGAGAAAAATAGGGAAAGAAGTTGGTAGTATATATAGGAGATTGGGAGGAAGAGATTGTCCTTGAAGAAGATGGGGTGTATGTAGGGTCCACATTGGATTGGAGGAGAACACTAGCTACTATTTGTCTCTCACTCACCAAGACTTCATTTCTTCAAGGTATATGTTTAATTTCTAATAATCTTTTTCTATACTTTATCTAGTTAGAATTACAATAATAATAGAATTGCAATAATAGATTCAGTAATTTTTTGATAAAAATTTAAAAATTTGAGATGGTGGACTTAAGCATTATATTACTTGTCAAAAAATTTGTATTACTCGAATAAAAACCTATAAATTATTATCACCACAATCGGTACATTATCGATCAATATCACAACTAATTATATACTTCGTATAAACTATCATGCACGTACCAACGACTTCTATTGTTAAATTGTGTTGCTATTTGATAGCGCTAACAAACACCAGTATGCTCTTGTTTGGAAATAACGTTTTTGTTTAACGAATAGTGTTTTGGATAAAATTTTAATGGTGTAGATTGATTCTAAAAATGACAAAATGTAATGTTAAAAGCTACCGTCCGATAGTCTTTTCAAAATTCCAACGCTGACCTCTAACGCTGAATCAAAACAGGACTATACATCATAGAGAGTAACTATCATCAACGCATGTGTACAAATTAAATCCCATGATAAATTTGTCCCTAGTACGGAAAACCATGTACAATTAACCAAGAAATGAACCAACAGACACAACGACGACAAAGATTAATCGTGTTAGCTGAGTAATTGTCCTCTAATATAAATGTGGATTAGTGCATTGCATATAATGTTAATTGCTACAAAGATAGACAATGCATGAACGGATTATATATATTAGGCCTAAACATGCCGTACACGGTCTAATCATTATCTTTAATTATTTTTCATCCGCCGCTCTTAAATAAATTTTTTCTCGTCCACTGTTCACATGATAAAACTACTCGTATATCAGGTTTTTTTATTCGCTTTAATCACTTATTACAATAAAATATGTTTATCCTCACTCGTTTAATGGGAAGTAAATCCTCTTATATATGAAGAGAATAATTTTTAGAGTAAACTTCATAAAAAGTCCCCAGTTATAATTCGTTTTACATACTTAGTCCCTACATATCAAATATCGATAATTTAGTCTCCAATTATTATATTATTTTACACAAATGGTTCTTTGTTAACATTTTCATTAAAAACATGAATAAAATTGTAAATTCACGCTCGTCTCTCTCCTCAATTAAGCATCCTCCCTCCTTTTGCACTCTTTTCCCAAACCCGTCGCTGAGTTTGAATTTTTGACACAAAACCTAAATCATCCCTCCTCTCTCAATTGTTCGTCTTCCTGGTGGAATCCAAAATCGAATCAGTAACTTTCATGAATGAGTTTTAAAATTTGTTTTCTTTGCAATTTCCCGAGACTAATCCATAAAATTCATCCATGAAGGTTGTTGGTTTCAATTTTTAGTTTCACCCAGAAGATGAACAATTGAGAGAAGAGTGATTGTTTCGGTTTAGGGTTTAGAGCTTCAAACTCAGCAACGGATTCGAGAATGAGTATGAGAGGAGGGATGCAGCTTAATTGAATAGAGAGAAGTGTGAATATACAATTTTATCCATGTTTTTAACAAAAATGTTAACAAAGAACTTTTTGTAAAAAACAGTACAATAATTGAGGACCAAATTATTGATATTTGTTATGTAGGGACTAAATATGTAAAACGACCTATAACTGGGAACCTTTTATGTAATTTAAATACATAAATTTTATTTTACATGTTTATATCGATCAAGATTTAAATAAATTAAAAATGGACGGGTATATTGTTATCATGACTCAATCAATAATTCAAGGTAATCAAAAGGGGATAATACATGAAGAAAGCTATTTGTAGTTTTCATTCATTTTTGCAAGTAATTATAATCATTGTGGGGACACACATCACATTTAGTTACGAGCATGCTATGTGGAACTATATATTTATCCTGTGGACCTGTCTTATATTTTGACAAACAATCGACAGTCGCCTTGTCCTAAATTAAGTTACATATTTTTCACTCACATAATCAAATTTAATTCATTTTTTTACTTATTTTTTTTATTTATTTGATAAAATAATAGTCATATTATATTTCATTTTGTAGAGTCTTTGATTTAGTTTTTTAATATATAAAGTACTCCGAAACAGACAATATAAATTGTTTTTAATATATTTTTTAATTTTGCTGTAATTCTTTAATAAGTTATATTGAAAATAATTTAAGTAACATATTATTAACCGAAACAGACAATATAAGTTGTAACAGATGGAGTATTATTTACAAAGTATTTATATGCACCATTTGACATCATTAAATCTAGGAAAAAATATCTTATATAATTCCACTTTTTCACGCTTTTTTAAAAAATAATCTCACTTTTTAATGTAACTAGAGATAATTCAACCTTTCCGCATGCTTTTTTGGAAAATGCCTATTTTTTGAAAATAAATGAGAGGTGAGATTATTCTAGGCAAATTTACTTTTTTTCATTTTTAATTTAAAATTCAAAATTTGTCTTTTAAAAAAATAACAGTACACTCTTGTTAGATATTTGTCTCAATTTTCTTAAATATAACGATTTACAAATATTGTATTCTGTTCTGGGGAAATATAATATTGGATTATCGAAAATAACTTAGTGTGGCGCTCGAGAAAAAAAATTGCAATAAAATTTTTTAGTGAGTTATAAAATTATTATTGCCGTTTTGGAGGAAAAAAAATTTGTGCCATTTTCATAAATTTTGAATTATTATTTTGTGGAATAAATTTGTACTAAATTATCGAAAAAATCACATGTTTTGTAGTGTCATTTTAGAGAAAAAATAATACAGGCAATAGAAAATAATCGTTAAACATTTTGGAGTGCTATTCATAAAAAAATTGTAATGCAACAAAAAATATAGTGAGTTATAAAAGTAAAATTTTCATTTCAGGGAAAAAATTATTGTGTGATTTTCACAATTATTGTAATGTTGTTTTGCAAAAAACATTTATAGAGTAATTGCAACTTAAAATATTATGATTAATGGATTAAATAAATTAGTTTCATTGTATAGAATAATTTATTGTGTAATTTCACAACTTTTGAAATATTATTTTGGAAAAAAACAACTATTACCAGATTATTGAAAAAATAATAATCAGTGTCATTCTAAAAGAACACTTCGATTTGGTATTATTTATAAAAACATTTTTAAAAAATATATTTAAATTTAAAGTTTGAAATTAAAAAACAAAAAAAGAGAATTTACCTAAAATAATCTCACTCTTCATTTATTTGCGATAAACGCAAGCATTTTCTAAAAATTCCGTTAAATAACCATTGGCATCCTAACGGCGATCCAAAATTTGTAAACATGAGGAAAGATGAGATTATTTTCTAGGACAATGAAACGTAAGAATATTTTTGGAAGAACGCAAAAAGGTGAAATTATTTGAGATAATTTTTCCTTAAGTTTACACCATCTATTACCGAGTATATTTCTTTTTTTGGAAGGAACATTTCATTCAGTTAAAGGAAGTTTACAATGAAATCCGGGGATAAACAAACCCACTCCCTAATACCCGACATAAAATGAGTAGCACGCGTTAAAATATATATACATGCACTACCTCATTGGAGGAGCTATGAGAAAAATGAAATCTAAAGTCTCATCTCGCATATATTAGAGCTGAGTCTTTCACTGTAAATTTAATTATGTTAAATAATATAATGTAAATAAATAAACTATTTATTTATTGTGTGACCCAGAGTAAAATTATTTATAGTTCAATTTCTTTTAATTAAATTGGTGTAGAAATAAAAATTTTAAAATCATATCATAAGTTATACGAAGCAATAAACATGATTTGATAATATATAAGTGAAATTTGCACTAAATAGTACTAAAATATACGGAGTATGTCCTTTCCCAATGCATTACTTAAACTTTTTTATTTCTTTAATAGTACTTGAATAATGTCTAGTGGCGGAAACAATGCTCAGTGATGTTGGACACTTAGTTTGAACAATGTCTACTGGCGATGGACATTTACTTGAACAATGAACACTGGACATTAAACACTGGTACTACATTGGAAAATAAAAACATATGGTACTGCATGCATTGAGAAAGTCATTATGTTTTAGTATTGTTTAGATAAATTTCCCAATACATAATAATGTCATTTGTCAAATGATCAATGAAAATATGTGTAAAAAAGAAACGTATTTTTTCACCTCGTGAATGGTATAACTTTGAATTTAGTCTTATCAAAATTGTGAAGGCAAGATAGTTTTTATTTGAAATTTTGACTTGCACATTGTATAGTGTCTCCATCCCACAAAAGTTCCATATTTTTTTGGATATCCAAAAAAATTAGACTTATATGTGGCTCAAAAACTTTATCTCTCATCCAAACAGATACCTATGACATACTTTTCATTTTCTAACATTTTGTTCCCCTCAAAATCAAACTAGAAAGACTTTTATGGGACCAAGTTAATACATAAAGTGTTTTTGAAATCAGACTTTAATCCTACTTAACTAAATAATCCTAACTATAGGACTAGGATCTAATTATCTAAACGTTTCAAGTGTAAATATAAACATGTCATTATATTACACAATAACACTTTTATATTTTAGTCCAACATTTCGCCTAGATGTAACACAACATATGTTATACAAAAATAGATATTTGTTCAAGAAAGAAAAAACTGACCAGTTAATTTTACAGTCTACCAAAGTCCAACCCTGCTGCAATATCTTGCAGATCGAGGAGATGGAGAGGCTTTACGACGTGTAGGGTAGGCAAAGTCACCGCGGCGGCCTCTCAAGGGACACCCATCCAAACTTCCCTTTTCTGAAATCTGACAATATACGGAACGATGTTTGGTGCTTGTCTCCATTGAATAACTGAAGCGCGAGTTTCTGGACAAACCTGCAAACCGAAGAACATATATAACAAAATAAAACTCCTTTCGGCTGGAAATCGAGGATGAGAAACGTGTGTGTTTGGATCTTGCAGAATGCCTAGGGAAGTTGTTTTCTTGTGTTTCACTTTTCACTGCAAATCTCCAAATACCCAAAGGCACAATAGACTTACAGTTTACCACAGTGACCATCGATCTTGATTTTGTAGCGGTCCTGAACTTTATTGCCTAAGACAAAAGATGAGAAAATTGCCAAAAAATACGGTATTTAAAAGAGGCTAAACAAAAAGAAATAATGAAACTTTCCTGGTATTGAATCATAAACACAATGTTCTATTTATGTATGGGATGGATTGCTAATGGGTTTATCTTTAACAAACTATAGCTACAATGTGCCCGTTTAGTTACAGCTTTAATGTTTTGAAAATGTTATCTAACGGCAGCGTTTAGCTTTAACATTTTCAAAGTTAATCTGCACTATTCAATAATAATCCAAAACGCTAACTGAAAACATTGTTCCCAAACGAGGCCAATATTATGCAAACTAAAGAGCTCAAAAAGGAAATGAATCATACCTAAAGTAGGATGCCTAGAGAGCATTTGCACTAGAATAGCAGCGACATCTGTTACGTCATAGGATTTTTCACCAATGTCGTCGCATATGGCAAGCTTTATTGCCGACGTCTGATCACTAATCCTCATTGGAATTATGCCAGGAGAATCCAGCAGTTCTAAATCTTTCCCTAAACGGACCCACCTGTTCACAGCAACGTGTGAAAAACAAAAGATTGTCAGATTTCATTTGAATGCAAAGAAAATGAAACAAGACAACTTTTTTTCGTACCACAACTCCACAAGATCCTCTCCACATTAAAAGTCTTCAAATGGAAGATAAATAAAGTTTATATTGCATCTTAATACACATGTTCGTAAATGTAAAAATGACAGATCCAAGGACCCAGCTTTGGACCAGTTACATTGTTCTCGACATACCTAGATACAAAATAGTTGCCCGTTTTTCCATTTCAGCAGAGTTGTGTTTGCATCTTATCAAATTATACATTTTACTTTAGAATAACTACTCCATATGTTCTATTTTGAAGGATTTAATTCCCTTCTTAGTGCATGCCAAAATAACACCACTAACTTTGTGTTTTACTCTTTCATCTATGATTTCATCCTTTCATTCGGTGGGCCCAATTTTTACTTGGTACACTTGTTAAGTACAGAGTACTAGCAAACACCAACATCATTTTCTTTAAAAGCGTGCCAATGTAGCGTTTAATAGGATTTTAATATGTGAGGTAGAATAGTATTACAACTTACTCCCTTCATTCCATTAAATTCTTTACTCTTCTTTTTATGGATGTCCCAAAAAAACTCTGCCCTTACTTCACTCCCTATTTTGGTAATGAATACGTGGCTACCAACAATTCTCTCTCCTGTAAACAAATTCTAACCACACTTTTTATTTTTCATCAACTTTCTTAACTTCATGAAGCCAAACTTCCAAGAATTTTATGGGACGGAGGGAGTATAAGTTATAAGCTAGTTGCTAACTCTTAAGCATTTTCCAAATTGCTAATTTATATTCCATACCAATCATTTCGTGAAAAGAACAAAAACACTAAATGAATGTTGTTTATGTACAACTTTATTCTTTTAAAAAATCAGACGGTAGGAAATATGAGGAGGCATACTTAAGTTCTCGAGTAACACCTGGTCTCGGAGCAGCAGGACACATTCGACGCTTCAGTAGCCGATTGATCAGAGATGATTTACCAACATTTGGATACCCAATGATTCCTGCTCGAACCTGTGAAGATCAAAAGTAATTCAAACTATGCATATTAAGACATTACAATCAATAATATGTATGAAGCAGTTGAGTTGAAGAACAAATATCATCAAAGCATAAAACTATTGAAGCAAACTATAACCCTTCTGTAACATTACTTAACTTTTGAGTTGCTAGAGGAAAATAAAAACTTTTAACCCTCAACCACTTATCACTTGAGCTGTTTCCAGGTGTAATTGTGTAAGCATGACTACCAATGCAAGATGAAATCCATTATGATGTTGTCAATCTTATTATTATCATAACTTATTGTGTGCTTAACAAAATTAAAGAAATCACTATTATAACCTTGCCGTGACGTTGAATAAGCTATTGGAAAGTATTCAGGTGCATACATTGAGAGTAAAGAATGAAACTTACTGGGCGAGGAAGTAACCCTTTTGCCCGGCGCTTTATGTTCACACTTCCTGCTAAAGTTTTTGCTAAGCGACTTAGCTTCATGGTTCCCTGCATTACAGAACCAAAACCATCTTTTACCTCATCTAAACCATCTCCCAACTCCCAAGTAGGGGTAAGGTCTGCGTACACACACCCTCCCTAGACCCTACTATTGTGGGATTCTACTAGGTTGTTATTGTTGTTACTTCTCTCCCAAAATTATAGTCCCTTATGTATTAGACACAAATTTTAAGGATAATGGAGGAAAGTTCAAAGTGTTCCTCTCTATTCAACGAAAAGGGTGTATTTTTGTTACATTTTTTACCTTTTGACCTTTATTGAAAAGTTATGAAGTACTCCCTATAAGTTAAGTAGTAAGCTATACACTTTTACGTACCATACCCAGTTGTCCATTGGAGAACACAACTTTTATTCCTTGACTAGCAAAATAAGCAGCCCAAGCATTTCGATCAGCCTCAGATACCATATCCTCCCGGTTCAAAACTAAAATGCGCTTTTTAGTACCGAGCCAGGAGTCCATCTGTTCAAGAATATCTTGTCAATGACAATCTGATACACCCCCCCCCCCCCACNGGAATCCTTGCATCGCGAACCTCTATGACAACATCCATCAATTTCAGCTGTTCCTTGAGCTCTTTCTCGGTTTTGGCAATATGGCCAGGATACCACTACATATATAGAAGCCTCAGTTTGTATGTAATAAATATTAAATCGCTTTCATTTTCTGAAACAAAAAAAAGATTCGTGATTAACAACAAGCAAGAGCAAACCCAGTATAATCACAATTCTATTGGGGGATGATGTCAAGATGTACGCAACCTTACCACTGTAAAAAACATAGAGGTTGTTGCCGTAAGACACTTGATGCATCGTTGCATTTACCGCCCAAAAATTCATAGAAAGTAAGAAGCAAGAGAAGTTTAAAGGGTCATACTGATTTAGTCCATTATTTACCTATACCTAAAACAGTGTTAAAATGACTATTTTAGCTCCATTGGCAATGGGCACATCCAGATTTACAAAAATGAAGCTGCAATCATATTACCCTTAAGCGGAAAGAATTCAAATCAAGAGCCTACACATACCTGAACTGGTCTTAGTTGTTTTGTCCAGTAATAGATATCAGTCTCCAAATCATTCCAATCATACTTTTCTTGGCATCCCTCTAAAATAGTACAAAGTTTTGAACTCTCATTTAAGTACAACTCATTAGTTTTTCCACCAATGATCTGCAAATTCCAAAATGATAAAAATGATATCTATTCAAAACTCAAATAGGAAAACAAAAACAGGAGCTAATCTATAGGCCTTCAAGAAAGCGGTGCTTAGTAATATGAAGGCTCAATGTTGCCCTCCAAAAAGCACTCATCTTTTACAATCTTTTTCAGATGATTCCAGCGACATAAGAATCCATGTCCCAATCGGAGAATGATAATGCTGTGCTGGAGTGAGCTTCCAGGACAAGCGTGCAAAGTTTCTGAAAATTGAAACTATAATTTGGAACCAAATGAATATTTTCCATTTTCCTTTAAGCTGCATATGGTAGAGGAATACCAATTGAAATACATACTTTTCAGTTCTAACTCCAGACTTCAAAATCACGCGTTTAGAATTCAAATTCTTGGTTTGGAAATAGAACCCACAATTCTAGAATTGCAAATCCAAATCCTGTTTGGCAAACCTCAAGATTTCCTAATCTTGAACCCAAATGCAGATCCCTTAGGTTTTGAAGTAGTTGGGAAATAAGGATTTTGGCCCAATTCTAAAACAGGACTCCACAAAAAACCAAACAAATATATTGGTTGAAATTGGTTCAGTTCTATATTTACAAACGAAACTTCCCCTGTACAAACACAGGCCATTATAGATTTCCGGAGGAATATTTTCTTCTCCTCAGGAGTTACAGATTATCAATGGCGACCCAGAAATTTGCTTTTAAAGAAAACGAATTTATGGTGAGGGAGCTTCAAATTAAAAGCCTTGAGGAAATCTAATCTAAGAGTTCGAAGGTGTGTGTGTATCGGGATACAGAGACTTGCCTCGACAGAAGATGGAGGAAAAGAAGCGCACGCCGCCGCAGAGAGAGCCGTCGGAGGATTGCTCCGGCAGTGAGGATAACGTCCGGCCGTGGAAGGGATTGCGGCACCGTTAAGCCACGCACAGGAAAGCTGTACAGCCATCGCCCTGTATACTGCTAAAACTGCTGTTTTCTTCCCGGTGAGGTAAACAGAAAGTAGTAGGAAATCTCAAAAAAAAAAGTTGGTGTATTGAAAAAAAAGTTTGCCCAAATACTCCGTATAACCATAGAAAGTTTTGCATAAAAAAGAAATAATGCAAAAAGTCATAACTCATAAATGAAGGACTCTTTTTTGAACACATCATTGTTTGGGATATTTAAAAAAAATTATAATCCCCAGGTCAAACTTAACTCACTTTGTTTGCTTATTTTTATTACTCATTTCATAAAATAATATATCTCTGTTACAACTAGCTTTGTAGACCTTTTTATGTCCTTTTTTAGTATATAAATTTTATTTTTAAATTTTATCGATACAATCAAATAAATAGAATTGAAAATAAAGTTGGTGAAACCTCATAACCCATAATGAGAATATTTTTGATGAACGGAAGGAGTAAATAATCAATAACTACACTTACTAGGTTGAGTATAACTTGGAATAATCAATAGTTCAATGATTCTCTACATAGATTTCTGTTGGGCACAAAAATAAGAGGGAACGTTTTGCCACTGCACTAAACATACTCATAGTTATTCTACACCCTAAATTTTGAATTATAAGAACAAGTCTTATGTCGCCTAGTTCAAAATTTGAAATGTGGTATTGTACAACAAACCTCCGCAAAAATGGACCAACTGATAATAGAAAAGCTTAAGGATTGTTCCAAACAAATAAACAGAGGCAGATTAAGAAAATACTTTCCTACCACCTCACTAAATCCCCCAACCAAACAAGCCCTTAGTCTTTCCTAAGAAAGATGTTTAGGAATTTCAGTTACACACAATTTGCTAGTCAATCTAATGAGCTCCTCAGTCTCTGTGTCCAGTTCAACATTGTCTTTCTTCATCCTCTCAGCAACAATGAGTGGCATCTTACCAGCTTTCTTGTAAGTTCTCAGGAGCAAGTTATACACCTCTGTGCTCACATGGCCAGCTTCGCGAAGTATGACCACCAAATCTTCGGCCATTTCCACGTTCCCTTGCTCTTCAAGAGCGCCAAACATCTCACGGACTATCTTCGCATTGGGTTCCCACTTCTTGACACAACCGAGGGCTTTCTTGAATGAAGCCAAAGCTTCGTTCACCTTCCCACATTTCGAATACCCACATGTAAGTATCTCCCACGTTGTATAGCTGAGGGGGATGCCTTTCTGAACCATCTTTTCTATAAAACTCTCTGCCATGTCCAACTGATTCTTCTCGACGTAACCTCCAAGAATCAAATTTGAGATTCTGGTGTCCTTGGTGGGTGAAACAGACTCCCACTCGGTGTAGATCTCCATTGCCCCTTCAAAATCGTCGAGTTTCAGCAGTGAAGATATTGCGCTAGTGTATTCATAATCATTCAGCTTGTGGTAAATAGATTTCATCTTCTTCCAAACGCGGCGCACCTCGTTTTTGTTTTTCAAGTTAGTGTACAAACTAACAAGAGAGGGAAACGCAATGCGGGTCCTCTTAAAGACCCGTTTCTCCATTTCTCTCAAAGTGGATTCTGCTTTGTCATTCTGTGAACTTTTAATATAGATACTGGTCATCGTGCTGAATGTTATCCAGTCTGGTTCAACCTTGGCTTTCTTCAGCTCAAGGAAGATCTTTTCTGCAGTTTCAAAGTCGTTCAGTGACGAGCATGAAGCCAAGAAAAGGTTGTAGGAGACAATATCCGGTGAAGTGTTCTTCCTTAACTCAAGAATTGTGTTTGGGACCTTCTCTAATTGGCCTGTTGATATGTATAGAGACAGCATGTGGTTGTAAGGAAGTGGGTGCTTCAAGTGGCCACAGTCGGACATCTTTTTTATAAGGGCTTCGGCTTTATCAGTGTCTTTTTCCTGGGAATAGCAGTGGAGAAGGGCACTATATGTCCAGTAGTCTACCATGTTACTGGGTATTTCGCTGAAGAATTTCTCGGCCCTATTTATGCCTTGAACCTTTGCTATCAGATCCAAATGGACGGAATAATCACCCGATAAAAAGTGGATATCATCTTGTAGCCTCATCCATTCACAAACCTGTGGTACATGTAAATTCACAGTTTATGTTACTACGTTCACTTTCAGCATAAAGCATTCATTTCTGTTTTCATTTTAGGTTCTAATCTAAAGCCAGAAAAAAATCGTGTTGAAAACCCAATGTGTCATTTTGACAGAGATGGATTAGAGAAACAAGGTAATAAATTACAAGGATGAATAACAAGACGAATCAGGAAAAGTTCATGTCAATAAATTACAAGGATGAATAACAAAACAAATTAGGAAAAATTCATGGCAATACTCCCAAAAATCTGAGATTTTACAGGAATGCATCATTATTGTTAGCGCTCCAAGAAAATTCAATATTTTTACTATTATACTTGGGATATTATTCCAAGATTCATAATTATGCAATCTTGAAGTTTTCGTGTAAATTTTCAAGTTTTTTGGAGTATAGGCATGATTTTTTTTTCAAAAATTATGACGACCTAACACGAAAAACACTGCATTTGCAGGATGAAAAACACACCAACTCAGAGATTCTTCTTTTAAGATGAAGAATCTCTGAGCTCAAATTTCTTTTACTTCTTCATCACGTATTTCTTTCCCAAAAAATCTCAATGAGAAGGTAAAAAAAAGATGTTAAAACTTCCAAACAAAAAAAAATGCTTTTGTTCGATATTCGCAAATATAGATTTCCCTGAACCTTTACATACTCTAGAAAAATCACATTAACCCTAATATATAGATAGTCCAAATTGAGATAAATTTGGGGGGAAAATTGAAGAATTTCTCTGATTCACGTTCCCGAAATACCTCGAGCGCGTGTTTGTAACGCCGGAGCTTGCGAAGCTCTCGAATAACGCGGACGAGCTCGTGCTTTTTGACGGCGTGGCCTTCCTCTTTCCATTTCCGGATAGTGATTACGGCGCTCCGCTTAGAGTACACAAGGCTTAAAAGCCTCCTCCCCAGAGTATCCTTGCCTGCCTTTCTCCTGGAAGTGATGCCCCCGTCTCCTTCGCCGCCATCAGCGGCTGTAGGCTGCGTTTCTGCAACCGCCTTGGTGATTCCGGCACTCCGATTAGGGTGCACAAGACCTAAGCGACTCCTCACCGGAGTATCCCTGCCTGCCTTTCTGGTGGAAGCGATGCATCCGGCGCCACCTTCCGAGGCTTTAGGCTTCGTTGCCGCAACCGCCTGAGTAGCTCGCGTCGACAAAAGGCGCCCGGCGGCGACGGACGTCCGAACCAGACGTGGAAACATTCTCACGTCTTTCGGTGTCTGGTTCTGACTTCTGAACAAGTTACATAATTGGGCTTCGTATATGAATTAAAAAATGTTCACCAAGCATACTAAGCCCAAACCAAACATGATTGATCCATGAATTGTACTTCTTCCGTCTCACAAAACACTCCCTCTTTATCTTTTTCATCCGTTTCAAAAAATACTTCTTTTTTCTTATAAAAAAGTTATTTTTACTCCTATTAATTCTTAATTTACCTATCACATCACACTATTTCTCTATTAATCTAACTATCTCATCTTACTTTATCCATCACATCAAAGTGTATTTTTGAAAAATCAACACCAAAATACACTTCTCTTAAATCTTTTAAAATTCAAAATGGGAAATTGTTTAAGGGATGGAGGGAGTAACTTGGAAGCATAATTTTTGGCTAAACTTATTTTAAATTTTTTAATTTATTGGAAGAATGAGTAGAGAATTTAAAAAATAAAAATGAACAAATTATATCAAATGTTAACCATAAAATTTTAGTGAGTAGTGTTTAATGTAATTAATGATATTTTTGTTTAAGCTCAAAACAAAAAGAATGAATGGCTCATAAATCTTTTTTTCTAAATAACTGTAAACCATAAAACTTTAGTGAATAGTGTTTAATACTTTAGAAATTACCAAAAATCAATGTGTAGGGAGTACAAAACTTTGAACCCAAGTACTCATCTAAATAGTAAATGCAAACTGAAAATTGATCAAATATGCACTCAAAAGAGTAGAAATGTAAGCCCAAGGCCAGTTTGGAGAAAGAATAGCATACTATGACATTAACATTCAACCAAAGATGACACACAATGCCTGATCAGAAATAGCTATATGGTAATGGACTAATTAACACTACAAAAATAAACCAAATTCTATACATCTGTTCTACTTATGGACCCCAAAAAATTGACCAAAAGAAACAAAAAACTAATGCCTGACTATAAACTATTGCTGCGAATAAGCTTGACTTGATCTAGTGAGTGCTCCCACAAAGTAACTGCGAATCTCGGGCAACATGTGCTCAATCAGTTGAGAGAAACTGCATAATAAAGAACAAAGACCCAGTTTAACTACTTCCTTTATATTCAACACAAATATCTATTTCTTACTTGAAACATTAATGTATATGGATAAGATTCGCTTACGAGCCAATGGCATTTAGTTTGTCAAAGTTCTGCAGTATGAAAAGAATGCATGCACTTCTTAAAGAAAGAGCATTAAAAGCCTCGGACAACTCGAACATGAAGGAGACGTTCTCCACAGACATATCCTTCAAAAGAAGTGAACATATTGTCAGAGAAACAAGTTGCTTGGTGCGTGCATAAATATACGTATAAAGGGAAGAACTCGGATGATTGGATCACGTATTAACTAACCTTGGCTATTGCATATTCACATTGACCTTTAAGTCCCTCAAGAAGATACTGATCAGAAGCACGTAGAAGATCCTGAGCAATGTCCGAATTAACCTGAACCGATCTTGTATAAACATATCTGCCATCAAGAAAAGGAACCGGCAGTTAGACCATTATTGTGTTCCGATTTACCCCCTTTAGCCATTTATGAGAAGATTTTTACCTCATCATCAACTCAAAGACATCCCACTTAATATTTGGAATCTCAATGTCTTTTGCCTCCTTCTCCTGTAATATGTAAAACAAACTGGTTAGATGTATAGATAGCATGTAAGATTTAAAAGACATAAAACAGGAATAAAGGAGCGAAAGAGATGAATGTAAATAAATCTGAATTACCCTGTAGCCACCATCAAACATTGCTCGAAATGCATCAGAAGAAGCAAGCAGGCAAATTCGGTGAGCATAGAAGCGTTTTCCTGATAAAACCATCAATCTCAAGCATCAGCACTGGGCTTGTTTGGTTGGGGCCGGGGGGGAATGTTGATGGGATGGTAGAAGAGTTTCATTTATGTTTTGCTACTTTATCTATATTAGTTAGTCTCAGACCACAAAGTATTACGTAATACGTGTTTAGCTGAATATTTCATTTAAAGTGATACAGAGTAATTGTTTGTCTAAGGTCTCTTTGCCAAAATGGTTGGTTTGATTCTGTGAAGAAACTTCAAAGACATTATCTAAGATATGCTTCAGAATAAAACTGTGTTATACCTTCGACTAAGAATGACACATCTGAGAGTGTCTGGTTGTTTACATACTGCTCACCTAGGTACACCTGCACAAGTAATCACAATTATCAACACCAGATTAACAGCATACACTTGCACAAGTAACACCAATTTTCTAGTGAATAACTTTGTGTGGGGGAAAAGGTTTAACATGACCACACAAATTGATCCATAGTACTACTACGTACGGAACAAAGCATAATTAGAATTTAATCTGCAGAGAAGCTGAAAACAAACTTGAGGTACTGGAGATAGGGGAGCTGCATCAACATGAGAAATTGAGCTGGCTTTATCAGCTATTTTGCACAGAGCCATAGAAGCATCACGTTGGCACTTCACGCTTGTGGATTCTACAAGCTCCAAAAGCAACTCTAATCCTACAAAGAAAATCGACCACAGAATGAAAGCTTTTTTAGGCTTCTGCAGGATATTTAAAGAAGGTAATTGTTTTAAGGTCATTCCCCTTATACACCATGTAAAAATTTACCATTGTTATCAAGGAAAATTGTCTTTTGATCTTGAGGGGAACAAAAGTGAGCAAGGGCCAATGCAATTCTTCTTTGGACAATCTTCTCCCCAACAGACATCAAATACAGTAAATGGTACAGCACCTGCAAAAGAGGTCATTCATGTCAACAACAATAGCAACCTAATTGGATCCCACAAGTGTAGGGAAAAGAGATCATTCATGAATGCCTGATGCATTGTGTAGACCCATTTATGAGTCTCCACATAATCATAAGTGAAGCACTGAATCTTCTGTAACTTGCATACATGATACTCAGTGTATAAATAAAGGAGAACATTCATGACTCAAGAGTATGTGGATGGTACTCCACACACCCTCTTTGGTGTGAACACATGTATGAAGACTTTCATATCTTGCTACAAGGAGTTAAACTTACTCGACCATTGATCTTCTCCTCTAAACTTTTTAGAGTCTTGTCTACACACTCTCTTGTTGGCTGCAAAACAAATCATCAAATTCAAGCAAATGAATGAAAAATCCTGAAGGGTAAGAGTACTCTAATTACAATATTCACTCCTTTCCTAAAGTTCTCATTTACTCCTTTCCAAATAAATCTTTCCATTAAAAAAATTAGAAGTTTTTTTGGGAATAAAAAAGGAACATGAAAACCATCTTTGGGTGACAGAAGGGTATTATAACGAAGGCCATCAATAAAAGTGTAGTACATTTGACTTTGTTTGAAGTCCATGTCGGTTCATGTAAATAAGTCTTCTAATGATCATTGTATAACAAGGAAATGAGTGTTTAGGAAGGTAAACGTGGAATTCACTCAGGACAAGTATAGAGACAAATTTAGAGACCAATAACACATCAAACACTAAGACGGTTTTCTTATCTCCAACATTATGTGATAGAGATACTGATTCACAAGATTCGAAAAACAACTGGATACACAAGAGGGGTGACAACAAAAAGGAGAAAAACATATGCAAAAGCTTAGATAGCTAAAAACAAAAGGATTAGGATTAAATACTTGGTCTAGTGGATTCTATATCAATTGAAATAAATAGTCAACTTAAATAGAATGACATGCCAAAACAAACTCTATAATCAAGAGATACCTCCATCTAGAACAATCATACCTGGACAACAAAATCCCCATCTAGAAGTTTTTGAACTCCTCCATCTTTTATTAAATCTGCAACATTATCCTTCAAAAAAGCAACAAGTCAAAATTAGAGATGCACGAAACGAAGATATAGCACCCACGGCATGCTTAAGCAGAGAAAATCATAAATACCTCATTGTCTGCAAGGCCAAAAAGAGCAAATGCAGAGTTATGTTGCAGAGACCTATTTTTTGAATCTAGAAGCTTTATCAAATGTGGGATGGCACCACTATGAGCAATACCTGCTTGGTTGTGTGGATCCTGAATATGATAAAAAAATCCAATTCAGCAAGTAAATAAAAAAATGTGAAATTCTGTTCAGCATTTTAGAAGCTATCATATAATGCATATGTGAATCATATGTGCAATGCAAGAGCCAAGAGGAAACATTCTCTAGCCAAACAAAATTCATACCACAAGGTCCATCATTGTCATGTTTCTGTTAGCATATAATGCTCTATCAAAGGGAGACTCATTTAGATTGCTTACAACTCAAAAGCTACAGATGATGTAAAAAAATATTCAGGCATGATCATTACCTGTGCCAGCCTTCCAAGTGCAAATGCTGCCATCTCACTCAATTGAGCATCTGCAGATTGAAGCATCTCAATTAGGGGTGGTACAGCACCTCTTTGGACAATGTGCGCCTGGAGATCAATTACAATCGTGATGTATAAGTATATTATCAACTGAACAAAACTAGGGAATTTTTTTAAGCAACCAGGACACATCATCAGAGTTTACCTTACAGTCAGAATCTGTTGCAGCAAATTGCCCAATCAGTAATGCAGCTTCCCTTTGGCTCTCTGAGCTAGAAGAACTGCAGGAGTAAAGAAAGAAAGAAATTGTGAAATAAAAATTAGCAAGACGCTTAGAAGTATAAATTTAAAAAAAAAGGAAGGCACGTTTGACTTTTAAATTGCAAGGGTAAAGTCACTAATAAGCAAACCCAAAATGCATAAACTAATCATACCTAAGTAACCCAATGACAGGTTGCAAAGCTCCAGCCAATAGAACTTCTTTTTTAATGCTGGGTGAAGAATGCACCAAATTCCCAATTACACCAACCTAACATCACACTAGTATAATAAGTCCTAGTGGAGACAAAGAATATGAATGTTCATCTAAATATGAATCATATGCATAAATTTAGTATAGCATTCTGGAGAGGAAAAACTATGTCTCACCGCTTCAGAGTGAATTGTAGATTCTTCAGACCGAAGCATTAGGATAAGTGCGGGAAGAGCGTTGCATTCTACTATCTGTAAGCAATTCACATATATTCAGAAATACAAAAGAACAATAATTCCAATACAAGCTATGAAAATTGAAGGAGAACCTAAACCTGATTCTTATTTTCATCATTTTTGAATGCCAGAGTTCTTAAGGCTCCTGCAGCTGCTCTTTGCACCTTTGGATCCACAAACTCAAGCAACTCAACAAGGGGAGGAATTGCGCCTTCAACTCTGGATACAGAAGGTTTCATATATGATTACCGGTTCACTTAGGAAGAACCTAAAGCATTCTGGACAGTGCAATACCTAACACGAGATTTGATGCTGCCATTCTCATGTGCAAGATTAGTAATCGCATCAGCTGCTCTCCTGATAACACCATTGGATGTCCGGGAGCTTTTACCATCCGTATGCCGCTTCAAAAGATCCACAAGAAGAGGCAAGGCTCCAAGATCAACAATGAAACGTTGATGCTCCGGCTGTTAGACATAGTATAGTTAGAGGCATTCAATTGATTGAAGAACATTAATTGTATTCGATGTTGAATTGTCAATGAACCGTGATATACTCCGTATTATTTGTGCATTCAATTGGATAAAACCTCGAGATTCAAATGTGAAATGTAACAAAATGTGTTAGAACTGTTAACTGAATATCATTATAACTGGACACTTACCCTTGTTGCGAGAAGTCCAAGTGTAAATGCACTTCCTTTCTCGACCTCGTGAACACACTGAATCGAGGCAGCGTCTCGTTCTCTGGCCGGAACCGGCGGCCTGAGGTTCCGCACCAGCGCAGGAACTGCTCCACACTCCACAATCACGTCAACGAATTCCTCTGCAAACGCAATAAACAACACGAATCATGAATCGATCCATTTCAAACAAAAAAAACACCGATCGAGTACTCCGAGAACTACCGTTCTTTGCCATCTCTAGGAGGACGTTGATAGCTCGCTTCGACGATTCCAGATCCAGCTCGGCACAAGCGACGGACGATTCCAGAATCTCCACCTGAGTCCGGACCTCGAGGACAAGATGTCGGAGAGAATCTTCGGCGGAGGGGGGAACCTTCGTCGCCCGATCCTGCTGGAACTCTTCTTCCCGCTTCCTCTTCGAGCTGTTTCCGGCACCGGAGCTCGGGCACCTGTCGCTGCTGCGCTTTCTGCTCCTGGTCTCCATTTGATCGGCTTGAGAAAAGATGCGGAGAAGGTATGAGTATGAATGAGCCTCTGTGCGTGGGGGGGTATTACTATATGATGGGGAGTAAACAATTTTCAAATTTTCAAACGAGAGGCAAAACATATATTGCGTGAGAGGGAAATTGTTCTGAAATTTCCGTTCCCGCCGTTTTACTGAAATCTCCCTCCATGAATTAATTTCGTGATCAAATTAATCAAAACAAATGGTAGAAGCTTAAAAGTAGTGTACGGAAGTAGAAAAAAGAGTTTGCTAGGTATAAATAGCTAGACGTTAATTACTCCACCCTTCTTAAAGTAACTTATTCGTCCCAAAACAATTGTAACAGTTGCAATTTTTTGGTTAAATTATACAATACTTTGACCGAAAATTATACAAAGAGTATTTAGTTACTCCGTATAATATAAGTTTAGTTAAATTAAGTTTATTTTAAAATATAGTTTTAAAATTTCAAATTTTGATAATATTTAATTATCTTAAACTATATTTTTTATTCGTGATTAAAGAGTGTTACATTTCGAATAAAAAGTCAAACTGTGACAATTTTTTTTAGACGGAGTGTGTACGTTAAGTTATGTTTGGTTTAAGTTATCGTTAGTTCAATATATTTAAAAAATGATCTTAAATTAATAATATAATTATATGTTTTCTCCATTTGAAATTATCATCTTGTTTCAAATTGTTTATTAGTGCTCCTCTGCTGTTATATTGGACTTTTTTCGGTGGGTTTAGAGTTCTCACTAATCGTGAATAATCAAATATGGAGTACTCGCTAATGGTAGTATTGTACTCCGTTTGACTTGTTTCATGACTCTAGAGACACTCTTGGTGTTTGATCTCTTCCCCTTTGATGCGTCAGGAGTAGACCTGATCAATGTTCGGACTGGGCCGGGTTTCCAAGGCCGAGCCCGGCCCAACCCGCATATTGGGCTTAAACTCGAGCCCGGCCCACGTGAATATGCACACGTTTCGACCCGACCCGGCCCGCATTGATAATGAATTATGAACATATAAAAAACTTTTTTAACACTATATTTCAAAAAAACGTAAATTTTAAACATTTATATATTCGGCGGGTAAATTTTAGCAAACAAAAAAATGGTACAGTGTATATATATCAAGGAGTATAAACTAGAGTACATACTTTGTACTTAAATTTTAAACACATGAGTAAAAAGTGACTAATGAATAATATTTTATATATATTTTAAGTAATCATATTCTGCATAAAAAGGTACTCCGTATATATTTTATACTACTCCGATAACTTCGTATTATTTATATACTTTCATATTAATTATTTAAAGAGATCGGCCCGAGCCGCCTGGAGGCTTTAATAACACAACTCATACCCGGCCCGCAACACTCGCGGGTAAGCGAAATTTACAGTCCGGCCTGCCTCGAATGCTAAAACTCAAGCCCAAGCTCGCATTTTTTTTGGACGGGTCTAGTCAAGAGTACTTTATTATTTTAAGGAGTACTGCTATATTGGACTTTTTCCATATTGGACTTTATCTTTCTTTCTTGGGTGAATGACTGAACTCTTAAAACGGTCCTTTATAATAATAAAGTGTTTTCTTAAATTAGTCCTCAATAAGTAATAATTGCTAATATGGTCCTTTGTAATTGAGATTTTATTCTCTAAATAACTCTCTGCCAAAAATATCTCTTAAATGCTAATCAAATAGAGGGTATTTTAGTATTTTCTATCATCTAGACGTAAAGTATATTCTCGAAATGCTCTTTTATAAATACCCCTCCGTCCCTAAATATTTACAAGATTTGCTTTTTCAGCAGTGTCGGAAACTTTTGTTTATTTCGACTTTTTCATTGATTATTTGATAAAATAAAATATTCTTGACACCTCTTATTTCGAAAAACTTTTCATGTAGTTTTTTTATATGTAAATTTTATTTTTTATTTCTATACCAATATATAAATAAAATGAATTGAAAAAACTTGATATTTTGTCTCGAGAATACAAATGTGACAAATAATTTGGGACGGAGGGAGTAAGTATTTTTTCAAACTAATCATTTGAAAGTGAAAGTTTTCCCCAAATGAAGTCCATAAGCCAAATCGGAGGGGTCCGTTCTTATTTGAAAGGACAGTTTTGAAAACTTATTATATATAGTTTAGATGATGAAAATTACTAAAATACCTTCTATTTGACTATCATTTAATATACATATTTGACAATTGAGCGAAAAATGTCAACAGGGTCTAAACAAAAATTAAATCTTACATACTCATAAAAAGAATATGGTAAAAACCTACCGTCACAAAATTGGTATATCAAGCATACATATATAAATGTATAGAGCAACTACAATAGAGGCATGTAAAAAATGCCAATACTCCATCTCTCCTAAAAAAATACTCTACTATAGTATTTTAATTTAATTTTTTACGATTTCCACATCGATTATTAAAAACTGCATTTATAAAATAATTTTTCTAAATAAAATTTGACGAATTAAATAAAGCAGAGCATAAATTATACGGAGTAATATTATTCATTATAGCATTTCAAAATTTCATGTCTTTTCTATTTTAACCCCACAAGGTGAAATAATAATAATTTTATGTCTTTTCTATTTTAACCCCACAAGGTGAAATAATAATTTTATTTTAGGAGGAATTGGAGTAATTAGGCGGCCGCAACTACAAAAAAGGCGAGACAAAGCACCCAAGAGAACGACATCAAACTCGCCGATTCACTTTTCTTGGCCTCGGCCGCCGGAGACGGAGACGGTGCCATAGAAGGCGGGCTGGCCACGGGAGATGGCGGCGGAGGAGGCGGAGGCGGCAGGGCCGGGGACGGGACCGGGGAGGCTGCGGGCATCGTGGGGGCGCAGCCGTCGTCAACGACACGGATGTCGACTTTCTGTCCGGCCTGGCAGTGGCCGGGGAAGTCGCAGATGAAGTAGAGATGAGTGCGGGGGCTTGTGATGACGACGGAGTCGTTGCCGGAGGCGAGGGTGTAGAAGCCGCCGGTGGCGTTGCATGCGTTGAAATTCTCGTGGGTGACTCTCACCACGTTGTGGAATGCCTTGTTGTATTTGAACACTGTTCATAAATAATTTGAGAATTTTATCAAAGAGGCACATTCAAATTTCACTTTTATTATAGATCAAAGATTAAATCTTGCTAACTATAATATATCAAAATGTGACAAATATTTTAGGTCGGATGAGTATTTTAAAAGAAATTCAACTGATAAGAGTAAGAGCAACTTTTTATTACGGAGTATTAAAAAAATTAGAGTAATAACAGTAAGAATAACTTATTACTCCGTATTATTAAAAGAATGAATCTATACGAAATGTGACTCAATTTACATGTACTTATAATGTAAAATGGTAAAAAATGCAAGGACTAATGACAAAGTTAAGAGAAGGATCAACTCTGCAATGTTAACTTGACTTGGAAAAATATAGATTTTTTTAGTTAAAGATTTAACCATGCATAATGTAATAATTTGAAGGACTAAGAATGCAACTTAGTCCAATTTTATGGAAACGTAATGAATGCTCCATATTATACAAGCATTCTTTGATCTTCGTCTCAAATATTACTGTAGTCAAACTTTTCACAATTTTTTTAGTGAGTGAGTATTTTTCCGTGCTTATAAGTCAGTCAAAATTGTCTATAAAATGTTTTTAACTTAAATGTCAGTTGATGCAAGCTTATCAAACATTAGCAAGTCCCTTGGAGTATGAAATTTTACTCAGTTTGTCATTTTAACATGGTTGGAGATGCTCGAAATCATGATTTATACTATCATGCCTCACATTTTCAAACTAAAGTAAAATTTACACTAAATAATATTAAATCATGTTCTTTTCCCAAATTAAAGAGTTTGACTGAGTATCACAAATAAGAAGTCAAATCAAAAGAATACAAAAGACGAGACGAAAAGTTTTAGAGGCAGCCCAAGCCTTGTAATCGACGTTGCCGAGGATCGTCCAACCGGCGGCGCCGCCCACCTCGTACACTGCCCCCACCGTGGGTTCACAAAACATTGTCATAGTAACACCAAGCAGCAACAATAACATAATTCTGGACTCCATGTCGACCAGGCCACTACGTACGTTACTAGCAATGCAATAAAATATGTGTGTTTATATAGAATAAATCTTGCAAATGTAAGTGGGCAATAATAGTGATTTGTTTACATATGTGGAGATAATAATAACATACATATATCAACTTCTTAATTATGGTATGTTTTAATTAAGGAAAAGCTTCTTAATTATGGTATGTTTATAAACTCATTTTTCCGGTAGAAAAATATTGCTTTATTTGCGGGGTTGCCTTTCTCACCCCCCCCCCCCCACTTTTTTTTAAATGAAATTTTAGTGTCAATTATTTAAAAAATAGTATAAAAAAGTTTCCGAAATTTAAAATGACAGAGCTATAATATTATCAGCATGACACGGTTCAAAAAAGTCAAAGTCAATACGTCAAAGATGTCAAAAATCATCCAAAAAACTATTTTCCAAACATAGTCATTATCTTTCAATGTCATCACATCATTCGAGCCGCATACGGTGCTCTGCTCAAAAAATAATGATTCTTACTCCCCAAACCCTCCCAACCTCCTCCCCTCTCCGATTGGTTACAATGACAAGTTGACAACTGCAGCCAATCGGCAAAAAGGAGGTGGACGAGAGGGAATTGAGAAGTTCAGTGGGAGGGAAGGGGGGTTAAGTGAGTTAAGAGTCATAATTTTTTCAAACAGAGCATCATAAAAAGCTCGGATCAAGCTATGACATTAATCTCAATGTCACATTAACCATGCTATGTTATGAAATAAATAGTGAACACCCATAAAGGAAGAAGTGCACATTTGTCTTGGGAAATGAGTTTTCATTTGGTAATTTATCCTCTACTTAAATTTCAACCACTCATTTTTTCTATTTAAAATAAAAGAATGTACAACTAACACACAAAATTAATTGAACAACTAAATCAAGATGGAGAGAGTAATTTACAGAATCTTTTACTTTTTCTTTTCAAAAAACTTTACCGTGCATATTGTATTCATGTTATCTCTCGTACATTGTTTTGATCGATGTTGTTTTTAATTACGAGTACAATGAATGTAATATAATCCACACTCTATTCGTTAGAGTATCTCAATATTACAGTAAATAATAAATCTAATGAATTCGATTCGTTCTCGCAATTCAATGTACTCCATATCCTTTATTCAAATATTGGCCATATTTTAAAAAATTTTGAGAAAAATAAAATAAAAATCAAAATAGAAATAATTATAAAACGGAGCAAGTATCCGAAAACATACAAATTATTAATTTATTACAGAGTAACTAATATCTCGACGCCGCTTATGGACTTTAGAGGATGATTTAACTTAAAAGTTTTGGATACTTTCAATAAACATTTGGTAGTATTCTATTTGGGCTGAAAGTTGGGTGTACTGGTTATCACATTTGTACACCAAGTCTTCACAGGCACACCCAGATACACAATGTCTATGAAAGCTTGGTGTACAAATTTTGGTATACCCCTAGATTAATTTTGTTTTGGGCATTCCAATGCCCTATTAGCAAGATTTTCAATATGAGACTCTAAGTGAGACTAGAATGAAGGGAATGTGGTAAATTATGATACCCAATGTGCTACACTACAATGTCTTCCCATTCTTTACAACCAACATAGATGCTAACAAAAATCAATTTCCTCATCAATTTCTCTGCTAACCAAACAAGACTCAGATAAGTAGTTTCTTTAATTTCCCTTTCCCTTCTAACCACTAGAACTAAACATGGTGTTAGGGAACTCTGATGTCTATCTTCGGCCTGGCAGTGGCATTTGAACCCACAGACGTAGTGGTGGCCCGTGGACAAAATATGGCTGATATTTTCCCATTCTACCTACCATGCAAATACAGAAACAAATATACACAGAAGAGCCATGGTTCCATGAGAGAGATGCCAATTATAAGTTGAGAAGCTAATGATAATACATTGATTACCAGATGCCTAAAAGATGATGGATGGCACTTACCCTATTTGGCAGAATACCAGTTTTGAGCACATTTGGCATCAACGGAGAGGCCAACTCTAAGAATATTCTTCCCATCAAACGGTTTTGACATGCACTCTACCACAATACCCTTTGCTTCCTCTGCTGATTCTGCCGGTCCTTCAAGAATTACTTCGTCGTGAATCTGGAAATCATGCATCATCACAGCAAAACTCAAAACATGCAGGTTGTCATTCATGTAAGCTTTACAATATCAACCTGTCACTTTGATGCTTGTTTGTAACAACTTTATGTCATTTTTTGCCTTAGCCTGTAGCACGTGCATGTGTGCTTTCTGTGCTTTGGGTCTGTGGCCATGGGTGCAGCAATTGTCCCGTGGCGGAGGCTATGTGGGCCAAGTCACAATCGAATGTCGTGGGCGCTTGTGTGTTGAATGCACTATAAGGCTAGGGTATGCGCCTCTTCTAACACCAATTGGTTTTAGAAGAGTTGGTAGCGCCTGAGGTCCTACAAGTGGTATCAGAGCCAGGGTCACGAGCTCGATACCCAGCGGGAGCAATTGCGGAGGGGGAGATTGTTGGCCATGAGTGCAGCAATTACCCCGTGGCGGAGGCTATGTGGGCCAAGTCACAATCGAATATCGTGGGCACTTGTGTGTTGAATGCACTATAAGGCTAGGGTATGCGCCTCTTCTAACACCAATTGGTTTTAGAAGAGTTGGTAGCGCCTGAGGTCATACAGGGTCTAGTTGTTAATGTTGGTATGTGTTCTGTGCTCTTACTTTTTTCATGCTAATGTATTCACTTCGTGCGTACTCTTCTGTTTGAACCTGGGTCTCTTGGAAGTAGCATCTCTACTTCCGAATAAGGGTAAGGTCTGTGCACACACACACCCTTCCCGTACCCTATTTTTCTTGGATTTTACGGGGTTTGTTGTTGTTTTTGTCGTACACTTATAGTGTAAGCTGATTTTGACAGAAAAATGATATGTGTCACCGACCTCGACATATTTGGGATTTGGGAATTGATATTCCATTATCCAACTTCAAAAATGATGGAGAAATGAAATATGGAAAAAAATAGATAAGAAATTGGAAGGGAAGAAATTTTGGGGAAAAGCAAAAGATGGATTCAGAACTCAACAAAATTATTTTAGATATTTGTTCAAGACCAAATAAAAAATAGTTAAGGTTAAAATATACTATCCTCGTGTCCTATAAAATGAGTCTACTTTGACGAGTGTGCAACTTTAAATTTGATGTAAGGTACATTTCTAGAGAAACAAAAAATACTAAGGCTTTCTTGTTGTTGTTCAAGCTGAAAAGCAATAGCAACAACAACCCAGTTGAATCCCACAAAAATATAACTAGGGTGGGTGTGTATACACAGACCTTACCCGTACTCGAAAGTAGAGAGGTTGTTTCCAAAAGAGACCCCCGGCTCAAGCACCAAAGTTAATCACGTATGCAACCTGAACTCTATGTTTAAAATATAGAGCGGCTCTTTCCAAATGACCTATGATGAGTGTTGAAAGTTGCATTGCCTAAGTGCTACCTAACTATTCAAAGAAGTGTAGCCAGTTTAAAGAGCCATTTTGCTTTATTGCATCATACCCCAAAGCCAAAAAATAGTGAGCCTTTGGCTCCATCGGAGATGATGGAAAATTCAAGCTAAAAAACACACATTAGAATAACTTAGTAATTTTTTTTCTTCTACAACACGTTCGAGATCCAAACATACCCTAAAAGTTTTCCTTATTATTTTGCTAATTAGGTGATAGTTCTCTTTGAAAGAAAAATGGGAACCTGCAGAAGCAATTTCCATCCAAGCTCCTTAAGCCGTTGGTTCTTTGATATTTCTAGCATGGCACACATTGCAACATCTGCAGCACTTCCCTGTTGAAGTAAAAAAAGACTCACACAAGTTACTCACAACACAGGCTCCAAAGAAACATGTGCCCACACAAATCCCTCAAATGATCCAAACTCACTTTTTTGGAGAGGTGAGTAAAGACGCAAAAAGGACAAAAAGGAGAGAATGAATGGACATTAAATCCAAGTTTGGTTGGAAGGCTTTGGAAAGAGGGAGGGAGTGAAGGAGTTAGTCTTACTGACTCCCCCATAATGGTACATCATTCATCATAATTAGAGTGCTCCACATGAGATAAACCTTTAAATTAATATGATACTGATTCCATTTGAGGGTCCTAAGATGCTTCATTCCACATTTATAACATAAATTGCCAACCATTGCCCCAAGAACATAGGTTAAGAAACCGAAAAAGGAGAATCTTCTATTGGCATTCATAATTGATGAATGTAATCTAATTTCACATTTTCCAGTAAAAACTCTCGCTTTTTTGTTTTTTAACAATTGCCTTAAGGGCAACGAGTAAAATTTTCCTATTATAATTCCTCCGCCAAACAAAAAATAGCAACTTTTTGAGTTCACTATATTCCTTCCCACCCCTTTCCTCCCATCCCCTTTGAACAGAACTAAGGCTAACAACAAACCTGGACAGGGGTATTGATGGCAGCTCGTTCAATGTGGCCTCTGAAATAGTTGCTTGCTGATTTGAGTGAAGGGAACCAGCGGGCCCGACCTAACAATGTGTGAACACATCTAAGCTGATGCGCTTCAGATTTGCGTTCTTCTTGCCATGTTAAAACCTCCTTCCTGTCACTATACCACCTGTCTACTGTTTCTTTGGCTTCCTTCACAGAAACCTGCATGTAAAAGGTTGGTGTCAGCACGGTAGCACATCGATCAACTCACTCGACAAAAAAAATCCACCAAATCCTCTAATAAAACATGGATACCTTCCAATCGCGAGCAAGCCCCACTGCAGTTTTTCCATAAGCAATGGAAAAATTAAGCATCTTTGCTTTCCTTCTCTCAGAAGCAAATGCATCCTATAGACCAAAATACATAACACCATAAGCAGCAAAAATCTCTGTTAGCTTATTCGCGTATAATACACGTATTATACACCCGTACGTACGATACACGTATTATACTCCCTAATACGAATTTTTCATGTAACGAACGTATAATACACGTATTTTTGACCCCAAACGTATTTAAGTGCAAAGTTTAAAGTGTCTTCTCTTATTAAAAACATATGCATTCGTTATAAGCCGTATTTTTGAAAAATCAAACGTCTGATACACGAAAGTATCAATATACGTACTCCGAACGTATAAAACGTATAATAAGACGTATTTTAAAAAAGTGATTCGTATTATATACGAACATATGAACAGATGTATTATACTCATCCCTGAATAAGCTAACAGAGGCACAAATATCGCAAGTCTAGTACAAAATGGTACACTAAATGCAACATACTAACGGACACTCATGTCTACTGTTGTATATCTCTATATGAAAATTTTCTCAGACCAGATCTATGGCCATCTTTCACAAAAATCATATTTATCCTTACTCTGGGTCTCATATTATCATGGCTTGACTTGCCATGGTTTTTAATTAATCAGAAATTTGAGCATTCACAGGTAGAGGTAAGGTCTGCATACATCATGCCCTCCCTAGAGGCCTAGACCCCACTTGTGAGAATACACCCGGCTTGTTGTTGTTGGAGATCTGACCATTTGATTTCCAAGTTTTCCCTTTTGTGAGTAATTAATGGTGGTAGCCTGGTAGTTTCTTTTAGGAAACAAAATTGTGGTAGTTAGGACTATTAAATGAGGGTAGTAACATAAAACCTTATTTTTCAACAAAGAAACAGTGAAGAAAATAAAATACCTGAATGATAAATAAAAAACTTTGTACCAACCTTTAGTAATGGAACTGGTGGCTTATCTTCACCAGGCTGAGGGTGCCACTCAAGGAGAACGTGTTTTTGTTCAACTGCTTCTCGTATGTGTGGATACATGTTTAAAGCAGTCCTCGAATGGAAGTCTCCACCAGCTTCAAAGGCAGCTAACATGCTCTTACAATTTGCAAGATGTGCAAGAATCCTGAGTTCCAACTAAGAACCAGAAGGGGAAAAATAATGAAACAAAAAGGATAGAAATATTCATACTAATGAACACAATTGAAAAGCCACAATGGTTACCTACCTGCCCATAGTCAGCAACAATTAAGGAATTCCCAGGTGAAGCTATGAACGCCTGACGAATTTTATACCTGTCTTTTTCCAAAGCAGGCTGGTTCTGCATCACAGAAATAAATGTTTAGCAGTTACAAACATTAGAGTAAAAAAAGATTAGCTACAAGACGCTGGATAGTCAAGAGAACTGTGTTTATTTGGAATATCATTCACACTATTATTTGATATTGTTGGGATATGAAATGTAGGGCAATGCCATTGTTGGTTTTCTTTCCAAAGAATAAAAAATTAAACACAAACTCCATTCATGGTTTCATTAAGTATATCCATAAAAGAGCATATAGATAGTGTAATAATTTCATAAAAATTGAACGAAACTATCAAATGAACATGTCAACATGATATATCAAATTCCAATTTCCAACTGCATCGAGGGTATTTGAGTACCCAACACTTGAGAAATAGTAATCTAAAGAGATGCAATCTAATGCATCAAAAACCTGCAAATTTGGCCTCCTCGCTGACAAGCGCCCAGTCTCAGTATTTATGTTCAGCGAACAATGGATGCGCCCATTCTTTCCTGATATTGCCCCGCCCTTAAAGAGAGAAAATTACAACAAAATAAAATGCTTTAGTCTATGAAATAAAATACAAAACATCAGAAGTCAATACTCTGTATTACAAGAGAAGAAACTAGTTAAGATGAAAACAAATAAATTGAAGAATCTCGACTACTCGCAATCCTAGTAACCTATTATTTTCTTTTTCTCTGCACCATGCCACCATGATAAATTAACACCATAAAAAAACTGATACGTGGTGGCAGCCCCCCCCCCACCGAACACTCAAATTAGAAGCGCCAAAGAATATCACCTGCAATGGGATGATGAAATTTGAAATCAAAGAGTTGATGGAGCAAAGTTTGCATAAAGAGGCAATGGCATGGCATGCCTCTATCCCAGCTTGTCCACCTCCAAAAGCCTTACAAGCTGTTCCATACCCAGAAACTTCTGGCTCATTGTTATTTGAAACAGACGCTTCTTCCTTATTGTCATCTGCTTCATTCGTGATTTGAAAATCAGCGGAAACTTTACCAGCAAGAGCCTTTAAAGCATCTCCACTAACTGATGGCCAACCACTAGGAGTGTATAGATCAGTCTCAATGCGATCACCAATCTTATGAAGTGTGATCTTACGAATTTTTGGTGGAGCCTTCTTTTCTTCTTCAATTATATCCTCTGTGTTGAGAACTTTGAAATCTCTCGTATCGGCAATAATCTCATTAGAGTCCTTTCTGTATGCAAAAGAAAGGATAGCAAATGGAAAAGTCAGGAGGAGAAAGGAGCAGAACCCACAAAAGTGAAGACACAGGCTCTGTTTGGAAAATGGCTGATCAGCCAAATTTTGGCTTCTTTGACAACATATGCTTATTTGACTAATCAATCAGCCAATTTGAGTGTTCGGATAATGACATTTCTTATTTAGCCTTTAGCTCTCAACAACCAAAATGAAAAGGCTAAGGTTGGGAGCATTTAGTTTGGCCGTTCCCTTTTCCCTTTCATGCCCTTTTTTCATGGTTATTTCCTTCCTCTTTTTTTATTTCAAAGCACGGCATTCTTTTTTCAAATTTTAAATCAACCTTTATACTCTAGAAATAATTCTTTAACCTAGCATGTTGTTCACCACATGATTTAATTTAATTTATTTTGAAATTGATATACTCCAATTTTTTTACTCCTTATATGTTTAAGTATTACATGAAAAGGTTTTTAATTTGATACTAGGTAGTAGGTGACATGATTATAATTTTGTAAAATAATCAATGAAAATAGATATAGGAAAACATAAAATTGACCCTTACATGTGTGCGTTAGATCAAAACTAAAAAATAAAATAATTACAATCAAACACTAATTATCACACATCGAAACATGTCCTTAAATGTAATTTCATCTACAAACAACTACTTATGAACAACTAAGGTAGCGTTCCCTTTGCCTAATCTGATCTGATTTTCTGAAGTTCTTATCTAATTTGGTCTGATCTGATTAAATCTGATCCGATTAGATCTGATTTGATTGGATCTGATTGAATCTGATCTGATCTGGCCTGATTGGTGATATAAATTTGATTTAAATTAAAATTATTGTTATAATAGTTATAATAATAATAGTAGAAATATTAATAATAATAATGGTAATAATAATAATGATAATAGTAATAATAATAGTAATAGTATAATAATTATAGCTATAATAATAATAATATAAATATTAATAATAGTACTAATAATAATGATAATCATAATAATAGTTATATTATTAATAATAATAGTAATAGTAATAAGTATAGTATTAATTATTATAGTAATAATACTAGTAACTGTAATAATAAAACTAGTAATAATGATAATAATAACAATAATAGCAGTAGTAGTAGTAGTAGTAATAATAATAATAATAATAGTAATAATAATAATAGCAACAATAATAATAACAATAGTAGTAATCATTATAATCATAATAATAATAGTAATAGTAATATTAATAGTAATAATAATAGTAATAGTAATAGTAATAATAATAATAATAGTAGTAGTAGTAGTAATAATAGTAACAATAATAATAGTAATAATAATAATAGTAACAATAAAAATAGTAATAATAATAATAATAGAAATATTAATAATAATAATAAAAGTAATAATTACAATAGTAATAATAATTATACTCATAATAATAACAATAGTAGTAGTAGTAGTAGTAATGATAATAATAACAATAATAATTTTATTTAGATCTCATCTGATTGGACTTGATCTAATCTGATCTAGTCTGATTTAATCTGAGTGGATATGATCTGATGTGAGTGATTTAATCTGATTTGGTTTGATCTGATTTGATTTTGATAAGAATAAGTAATAGGCAAAAAAAACGTTGAATGGAACACTGCCTAAATTTGCTAGACGTTTTTTTAACAACTAACACAATTAACCAGTCAAAGCAACTAACTCAACCAACAAGTCAAACTAGCAAACACAAATAACCAACAACCAACCTCTAGACGCTAACAACTAGTTTCGAAACAAGGCCATTGACATGTATTTAAATGAACAAAAAATATACTCATGATGAACATATTGATTTAATTTAATCAAGCCACATACTTGTTCACAGCGCCACCAAAAAAGAGCTGACGCAACTGTGCATCACTTCCCACGTTCATGTATTTTGCATCAGGGCAATACTTAGATGCCCAATTGCGAAATCTGTTAGAAGCAATCCCCTCCTCGGCTTGAGCCACTTTTTCCAACTTAGCAAGATAAGCACGATCAACGAGCACACCCTCAGTTTCCATCTGAACTAAAAGCTCACCAAATGGAAGCCAGTATCTCTCATAAAAGTTTAGCATACTCCCTTCATACACTCCATCAAACTTCCAGATTCGGTCAGAGAGTTTGGTTTTCAAACTATCATAAAGCATCAATGTGCTTATGGAATCTAAGGCAGAGTAACAAATCCATAATTTGCGATCCTCTCTTTGCAAGTCTTCTACAGATGGAATGACGTCAACCTTACCCTCGGTTCCATCTTTCTTCAGTTTTTTCCTGCCAAAAATAGTTTTCATTGACACTTTACCGAACAGCTCTTCACCAGGGGCCACGCTTGCATCACACATAACAGAGGTATCACCTGTAAGTGCCTCGAGAGAATAACCTCCCTCTGTTAGTCTTGAGGAATCCCATAATCGAGCCATGTGCATTGTATCAGCGTGAAACCCAGCCATTTTGAGTCCATAGTTCTCTATGATGTGGCAATCAAAGCTATAGTTGTGCCATACCTATGAAAAGCGGTACCAAAAGGTAAATAGATAGTCCTACTTATGTTAAGGTTACATAAAAAACAGGACAAATACAGAAACCTCAAATAAAATGACTCAGGTTTACCTTTTTAATAGACGGGTCTTCAAAAAATGGGGCAAATTCTACTAAAATATCCTTCCCGCCACCATCAAGGACATCAATCCAGACACAAGATTTCCCATCTCCAAATTCAGCGTGTGGTCCAGAGTAAATACTGAAGCATATGATTTCTCCATGGCCAACTGGTGTCTCATGCTTGACATCAATCCTGGCTACCTATTCATTGTTAGCAAACTGATTTAGCTCAGAAATGGTTCATATTATAGTTTTCTTTTTCTTTATTTTCTAAATGACTCAAAAGATAATCAATTGCAAAGTGTACAGCTTGTCTTTATACAAAACAGTGTTTATTTGCTATTTTGCTCTATAAAACCTTGAGAGGAAACATTGATATAACAGAAGCAGAAGACATGCCTCTGTATCACAAGCGTGGACTAAATCCCTGTACTCATTTGTAAGCTTACAAACAACTTCCTTGGCCAGTGAGATATTGTTGACTATGAGAACTTTCTCATAGATGGACTCCAGCCTCTCACGAAGGTTGGCCTTGGCAGTGCTCTTTTCTTTGGCAGTACTGTTTGCAGGCTGAACCTGTCTAAGTCCACCCAAAACAGCATAGTTGCTTTTTGTACCCGGAGTTGGAATGCCTTCCCCTTGCATAAAAGTTTTCTCCAACTTATTATCTTCAATTTTGGTCTCCAACAACTCAATAGGTTGCCTCTCACGAAGGTTGCCCTTGGCAGTGCCCTTTTCTGTAGCAGTACTGTTCACAGACTGAATCTGGTTAGGTCCACCCAAAACAGCATAGTTGCTTTCCGTACCCGGAGTTGGAACAGTTGGAACGTCTTCATCTTGCTTGAAATCTTTCTCCAATTTATTTTCTTTGATTTTGGTGGCCAACTCAATAGGTTGAATAACATTTGGCAGTAGGAATGGAGATTGTGTTGAACCTCCCCCATTATGGATTGACCTCTGTTCATTGCACACTGATGGTTGTGCAAAACAGTTTCTAAATTGTACATTATCAGGAGGTGTTTGATAGATGTCGCTAATCTCGATGTTATTGTATTTGGCTAAGTGTATATCTGGAATAACCTTAAAATGGGCAACACTCAAGTAACTTCCATTGCATTTTCTATCTTGTTTGATTGCTTCAGTTGCAGCTCGCCATGCAGTGCAGTGTTCCTCAAACGTCTGTGGGATAGCACTTGAGAAGGGTCTTATCTCTTGTCTTAGTGCACACCTAATCTGACAGGAGTTACAGAGTGCGGAGAAACTAGATAATGTAGTGAAGGCACTCATGGTTCTGTAATCCTCTACCCTGTAAATTAGAGGATTTCTTATAAAGCACCTTCAATATAGACAGTTCAAAAGTATTCCTTAACATGATTAGTACTAATTACTCCGTAACAAAATTGTATAAGCCGCAGGGCTTCCAAATTCCCACCATCCCCTGATGAATTCGACATGCAAAATGCTAAAAGTATGTGGCTGTTATGTCACCAGATGGAAATGTGGGAGATCCAAAAGGCTTTGAGACCTCATATTCACCAATCACCACTGTACACACCTAACATTGAGTTGAGTTTTACCCCCCCCCCCCCCGAATACACACAAATAAGATGTATTCTAACGTTACTTTTTGGGTTGTCCTAAAACTAACTTCTCATTTCCTTTAAAGGAAATTTTTGTGTGATCCATATTTCTTCTCTCACTTCTAAATAATCTACAATCACACGGTTCTACTTTTCTTAAAAATTGTGCCAAGTCAACATGGGAAGAACATTTTAGAACTGAGGGGGTAATGTATTTGAAGATAATAATTTCATTTGGGTAGAAAAATTTTGGGTTGTTCCCATAACCTAAATAATAATTTCATTTTAATTAACTTATCACACACAAAAATGCTACATTTAATAAAACTTTATTCTAATGTAGTTAAAAATGTTATAAGGAGTATTGAATACTTTAGAGCTGTAATTTAAAAGAAAAAGGAAATGATCATACTGCACAATGCGTACCTTTTATTTGTAAACTTTAAAAGTTCCAATTAATTTAATATGCTATAAATAAAATCATAATGCTTTTTATAAACGGAAATATGCATGACAAATGGGACAAAGAGAGTAGCAAACACCTAGTCATATACAAATAAAATACAATGTTCCCAATTCCCAAAGATGCTCAATGAAACTCAAGTAATAACGTTTAGGGAAAAAGAGGCCTACACCTTTTGCATATCAGTGAAACCAACTTGGCTGTGAAGTGTTTGTGCTGCATGTGGTTGCCTGAAAGACCATTGCCCAGTCTATTTGCAACAAGGCGATTCATTACAGATGGTACTACAACATCAATCCGTGCAGCTATAAATGTTCCAAAGAAACAAAAGAGGAAAACTAACATCAAATGCAACCAATTCAAGTTCAACTGTCCACACTACTTGTATTTCAGAAACCACATATATAGCTCTTTAAACGAGTCTGAGACGCATCCATTTATCTTGTTGCATGAATAAAGTAAGTGGGTAAGCGCAAGGTGCACAAGCTTTCAAGTGTTTAAAATGTGAAAATTTTCCTTAAATTATAATTTTAAAAGATAAAATCTCACATGAAAAATCTGTTGAAAATATAGTTTCACATCAACACTCATGCTACAAAAAACTAATATATAAGAATTTAAAATACGCTTCACATAGCCAATTGGCTTGGTTTTGGGATGAAATCACACATTCCTACATGGCATAAAAGGTCAAGGCTTATGAGCTCTGATAAGTAGTCTTTTTAAGAAAATGAGCCCTTGAAGCAAAAAGACTAAGGTCGCCCTTGGTAAAGACTAAAACAAAGTATGTAACTATAACTCCTCCCACAGTGGTATTGGGATGAAATTTCACATTTCTACAAGATCATAAAACACACCTTCAACTTCAAATAATCTTAGGTACTGTTTGGGAACTAGCATTTCATTTCAATTCCAAAATTTGAAATCTTGAATTTCAAATGACAAGGGGAGACATATGGATTTGCAATTGAACCTTGCAATGAGTTAGAAGAAATTGCCTCAAATCCAGATTTTGAATATTCCCAAACATGTAATTTGAACCAAATCCGGATTTGAAATCTGAATTCAAGTTCCCAAACGTGCCATTAAAGTTCCCAAACTGCATATCATTAAGAAAATAATACAACACTTAAACTAATGAAGTTAAAACATTGAACAAAATAAGTGCAAAACACCATAAAGAATTCATAACCGAATCAATTGACATGTGATAACTAATAATGCAACAAACTTTCATCTTAGATTCACAAGAGAAACAAAACGTAAATAGCCTTTAAAAACTGAAGTATCTAACATATTTTACTGGCTTATGTGGGCATGTTGTACCTTACTGGGCCGCCATCGAACGGAAGTGAAACGGACTGCCGCTGGGGCGTTGGGCACTCGCCGGCTGGTTTTGCTTGAGCAACAGATAAAGTCGGAAATTAGCAATGTTTATCAAGTATACTTACTATGCCCCACTGTCCTTTTGACGCTCGACGGCGGGACTAGTCGGCGACGTGTCTTTTCTTGTGCTGGTCGAGCTGCTGGCGGTGGCGCCTTGGCGGCGGAGAGGTGGGGTTGGCGGCTAAGGAGACTGGGAGATGACTCCAAAGGACCAGCAATTAGCAGAGTAAATAAGTACAGTAACTCGGTCCTTTCAAAAAAAATTATACTCGGGATATTAATGTGCAGAATTATTATGGTTAGGCTTTATTTTGGGCGGCCCGGTTCTAGTAACACTGGAGAACGGTGCTATTAGCGGTGCCACTGGGTTTTTGGGACACCTCCAGTGCTCCGTTCGTAAAATTGACGGTTTCTATCCCCCACCCCTGCACCCCCACCCCAACCCCACCGTAACCCCCCCACAAAATTGTGGCTATTATGCATTGCATTATAGCCACACATAATGCATAATAGCCACACATTTTGTGTGGGGAGGGGGTTACGGCGGGGGTGCAGGGGTGGGGGTAGGGTGGAGGGTTTAGGGGGTGGGTTAGGGGGTAAGAACCGTCAATTTTACGAATGGAGCACCGGAGGTGCCCCAAAAACCCAGTGGCACCAGAGTGGCACCGTTTTCCGGTGTCACTGGAACCTGACCATATTTTGGGTTAGATTTTTAACCAAAGTTAAACTTGTGTTTCAATTCAATTCAATTCCAAAATCGTTATCTCGACCTGAAATATTCTTGTCCCGACCACGTTTCATTTTGTTAGGATCCGAACATTTTAAGAATAGGACAAGACCAGGAAATGTAAATATTTTCTCATTCCATCTCGTTGTTCCTCATATATATGTGTGTGTGTGCGCGCTATTTATTTATTCATATAATGATATAACACAAAAAAGTATACAATTTTTGTTTTTTCCAAAATAGATATAAAAATATTCATATTCGAGTATTCTAAAAAATGGGCTAGGACCATAACACCCTAATTTGTGACTCATAATTTATACGGAGTATGAAGCTTATAGTCTTAACTTTTGATATATGCTATAACATTTTTTCATTAGACTATTCTTTTGTTTATAAAAAAAATCTAAATAAATATGGAGTATATCATTTTTTATTACTTTGCAAGCCAAAGTGGGATGTTTTTTCCTTACATATTTTATATTTTTAAATCTAATTTCGGGTAATGACAAAGCTAGATAACCCGAATTCGTTTTGTTTTATTCCGATCCCAAATATTAAGGGACAAAGAGAAATAAGCTTGTAACCTGAATCATTCTAAACCGTTTGGAAAAAAATGGAACGAAATGCAGGACAATATAAAACCCGACCCGTCCCAACCCATGTCACCCCTATAACTTATTTTCTATATAAATTGATTTGAAAATAAAAATTTCAATTTTTGAGAGTGTTTTCAATTTTCATTTTTATTCTTTTTTATTTTTCTCTTCAAACTATTTTTGTAGTTCTTCAGGAAATGCCAAATTAAATATATGAGAAATGCTTAAAGAGTGTAATTGTCCATCCAAGTTCAAAAACTTCAAAAAAAATATTTTCTCACATGGCATGTGCATTTGCTACACACATTGTTTAGATACATATGCCTAGTTTGGAAATAACGCTTTCCGATTAGCATTGGTTATTTGGAAAAAATTTTAATGGTGTGGTTTATTGTTAAAATTCTAATGTTAAATGTTATTGTCAGATAATTTTTTTAAAACACTAAAACTAATTTTTATCGTTGATACCAAATATAATCATAGTTTTTTGATGAAGAGGGATACTGTTGTAATTTTTCAAATCTCGATGAAAAAAGAAAGTCTTTTCTTGACAATAAGTAAAAAGTAGTGATGCAATATGCAAATCTACCAAACTAAAAATGATTTACCAAACCAAATGATTATTGATGGAATAAACTTAGCACTTATGCATAGCTATGGAGTACAAATTACTCTTGAAATTTACCCTAATTTACATTTTTACCGTTTCATCTTTTTTTCTTGTGTAGTTGTGTTCCTGTCAAGTGTCACGAGTCTATGAATTTCTCAATTTCACTCTTCTGTGAGTTCTGTCACAGTTTTCCGGTCAATCTCTCCCTCACAGTTCTGCTTCGCGCTCTTTCCATGGCGGATACCCCCACGCCGAACCCCAAGCGTTGCTGCGGCGTCTCTCAGGATCCATCCAAGCTCCATTTCAATTCCCATCTCGATCTCGATCGGGTCGATTCATTGCTGCATTCCTTCTTAGGCCTCTCCAATTCTGCTCTCGACCTCTCATTCGATCGCCTCCTCGACTCCAGCCTTTGCGCTTCCGACCAGTGTGACGCCGTTGACGGTGCGCTCCGGTTGGGATCTGCCCTTCTCGAGGCCGGCAAGAGAGCTTCCAGGGGGCTCGCCGCCAGCCACAACGCATCCGTTTGGCCTCTTCCATCTGACATCACGATCAAGGTATTTATATATGTGACTGTTTCCTTGCGGTATTCTGTGCCACGGGCTAGTATATGTTTTTAAATTTCTATGAATTTTGATAGCTGCTCGTTCTCTTTTTAACTGTGAAATACTGAAATTTGATGGATGAGCTTGTGGGGAATCTCATATTTTGAATGGTGCCTGCTGATGTGCAGATATTTTCTCTGCTTGGTACAAGGAGTGTGTGCTATGCATCAGCTACATGCTCTTTCTTTCACAAGTGTGCAGCAGATCCGGCTTGCTATGCCGATATTGACTTGGTCACCCCGGTTCCTAGGGTAAATAACCTTATTGTGGCAACCATGATTCAGCGTGCTGGAAAAGCATTCCGGTAAGATGCACAGCTCCTTTCAAGTTTGACATGTACATAAACTACTACTGAATGCTTACACTAACAAACATTATAATTCATGATCAGATTGATATAGGTCCACTGGGATGAATTGATTGCAGAAGTGTCCTAGGAGTCCTAGCTAGTATTTGACTTTGCCACTTTGATCTTTTAAGCCTTCACAGCACTAGAAATCAAGTAACCAACCATGCTTATGAAAAAAAAGAACATTCAGAATTCCGGGCTGGATCCTTCATAGCTTTACTAGCAACATTTAAAATGCTTGGCTGGTTTCTATTTATAATTCCATAATTTCAGAATTTCCCAGTCAATTGACTTTAAAATGGCACAACAAAGTGCTAGATGTGTGGTATTTAATTGCTGGGAAAGTTACAAAGCACTCTATTTGTTTGAGTATATAAAAACAATTTTTGGGCTACAATCATAAGTTTGAGTTTTTGGTTGAGTTGGTTTCTTGACATGGTATTGGAGCTTTGATGACCAAGAGGTCATGATTTCAAAACTCTCCGCCACCCAAATTTAAAAATTAAGGTTTCACGTGCAAGGCTTAAAGAAGTCACGCCTGCACGTGAGGGGGCGCATTAGATTATATAAAAACCATTCCTGGGCCATAATCACAATCTTGAGCTTTTGGTTGAATAAATTTCTTGACACCTATTACATAAATTTATCTTCACTTGGATTTATACTCCCTCCGTCCATTAATTTTTTCTCACTTTCCTTTTTGGAATGTCTAAAAAATTCTTTCTCGTTTTCTATTTTGGCAACACTATTTTAATGAAAGTGACATTATACCCCCATTTTTATCTACACTATTCACTTTATTCCATCACATTATGGGCAAACATGGAAAGTCTTTGCACTTTTTAACTTTTCTTAATCTCCGTGCCAAGTCAAACCAGGAAATAAATTTTTGGACAAAGGGAGTAATAAGGAGTGTATGGTAAAAGATCAAAATATTTTCCATCAATTTGTGGCTATATAGAAATATCAATTCAATTCTAACAAGTACCATGTGATTAATTAAATGAACAAATACAGGTCTCTCAAGCTTGGAATTGTACCTAGCCCCATGACTGGTGCATCCCGATCAGCCCAACCGCTGGTTTTTCCTAGACTGGGAAAAGAGGCATCTACTCTTACAAGATCATGCTTGGCCCCCTTGAGTTCCAATGATGGCACGATAGGGTATTTTTTAGTACTAGTGAAATAAATTGTTGATTTGGTATGTTTTTATATGCAATTGCTTATTGATCAGTATCTGAACACTTGACCTTCTAGTGTACATGTTCTGATGCTAATCATGTTTTTCTATACCTTATCATTTCCTTCAAAATTTTAAGGTCTTCTCTAAGAAGGTTGCACCTATGCAATATTGAACGTCTGGATGATTCATCACTTAATGCGGCATTATCGGTTTGTTCATCTCTGCGTGATCTTGAAGTAGTTGGGCTGTGAGTATCCATGCCAATTTCTTACAAATTATTTCTTTGCAACTATAGATTATTATTTTTAAATTATATATTGGGAAAGAGTGTGGCCCAAGCGAATTGGATAAGTCTGGCAGCTCCTATGCCATACGGAGGTTTTAGAATGCAATATTAGGATACTGCAATTAGTTAAGTGTTTCTTTGTCATCATGATGTCAAAGCTCATTCGGATGTTTCTATCAAAGGAATTTGGTATTCAAAGTTAACTGTGTGAGTGCACTGTGCACATGTCTTTATCACTCTCTCCCATTATTAAAAGTTGCTCCATTACCCTTTAAAGGGAGTTTTTAATTGATTACCTGATTCATTTCCCAACTTTGTATGGGATTTTACTGGATTTGTTGTTACATGTTCAACTTTTCATTTTTTTTGAAATACTCCATCTGTCAAATGTATGTTCCTCTCATTCTGACTTGACACGCCTTATTGTGAAAAGGAAATTTGTTTGACATTGGTTGAATTTGTAAATGAGAGAAGCAATATCAACCACACAAATCTTTCCTTAAGATGAAACGAGAAGATTTTTTTAAACAAACCAAAAAGGAAAATGAGAAACTCTTCATTGTCTCTTTTACATGAGTCTGTATCCCCTATGATTTTTATTCTTAAAAACCGTAATAATCCTCTAGGTGCAATCTTTCGAAGGAGGAGGGAGTGTGTAGAATATTTGTTTGAGAGGGTTACTAGTACGTTTGTGGTCGAACACTTTAGCTTATTGATTACAAGTTTTGACTTCTATTTGCATAATACGAAGAGCACAAGTGAAGTGCTTTGCTACCCATTTCTATTTTCTTTTCTTTTTCCTTGTCTGTTAAATACGAGTATCAGATCTGTGTATATAACTGAAAATTTATTTTTCTGTTGTGTAGTAATGTCGACTTAAGCCAAACTATTGGATCAATAAGCAAATCATGTCCTCTGATTGAACGACTATTCTTTGAATCTTCAAAAGCAGGTGCATTGGTTTCTGATTGAGATGAGCAATATACCTTAGAGAAGAATTCTTATTCACTTATTCTCTTGTGTTTTTCAGGTAGAGATTGCAGTTTTAAATTGCAATCTTGCAGTGACTTGGTGAATAATTGTCCCAATATATCTTCATTGGCACTTAGAGGGTACAAATTGCATGACTCCAAAGTTCGTGTACTTTTTAAGGTGGTGCTTGGTTTCTTGTAAATAAATTTTTTTATTATTTTATTCATTTTAATTTTATATTGGCCTGTTTAAATTTTGTATCTGGTCTATCTGGCAAACTTCGCCAGTTTTTTTGTGTGTTAGAACCTGTTGTAATTTAAATTATAGCAGCATACTCCGTCCATCTTTCTATTGATGGGCATAGTGTAGTGTCTCACCAAGTGTTTTATTATTGTACCTATGTTTCCAGGGATTTCATAAGCTTAAGTATGTTGACTTTTCAACATCCTATTCTGTCACCGGCTCATTTCTTAAGTATGCTTTTCTAGACTTACCGTTTTCTAGTTGTTTTTGTAATTACAAGACACAAGTATAAAATTGCTTTCACATGTGTTCTTATGATTATGGACCTCCACAGAAACCTTGGTGGTGGTGCAAGCAGGAATGTACTTGAGGTCTTAATTTTGAGAGACTGCATGCATTTGAAAGAAGTAAGAGTTATAAATTGCTACTTTCTTTTCAACTCTTCAGCCAATGTAAAGACAGATGATAAAAGCATGTCTTTCTTGTCTCCTAATATAGGTGGAAATAGCGAGGTTCTTCTCAACTGTTCTTGCAGGGGATTTCAAGCATCTGAAACACATTGTAAGTTCAAGGGGCCACTTGCAACTTGGAAAAAGCTACAGAAAGAAATGGGAAGGAAAATATAGAGAAATTGGGAATGACAAAATGTTTGTTTTTTTTTGGGGGGGGGGGAATGGGTGATGGAACATTGGTTCAAAGGTCAAACTCAATCATTTTATTTATGATATTTGGTCAACAACAACAATAAATCCTATTTAATCACCAACAACAAACCCAACGCATTTTGATATTCTGAGGTAAACTTGCGCACAACTAAATTTAGCACCAACCCCTCTCTTGCATTTTGTAATCCAATTGTCATTTCCCTGATCAGCTACTCTCGTTGTTACCTCGAAGGTTGTCATTTTGTGTTAACAGGACATATCTAATCGGGAAGGTCTGGCGTCAGAAGTTGATTGGTATGAAAGAAACTGCAGCCAAAGGTTACTCTTGTGTTCTCTTTCTGCCCTAATATACATGTGGTTTTAGCTCATCTTTAGTCTCAAGTTAATTTTTGTTTCAAGAATACGAAACAAATTTACATGAATGTTTAGATTTGAATGTTTCCTTCTCTGATGGAGCCACATATTCATTATTATTTGGCTTTGGAGTAAGATGGAATAAAGCAAAGTGGTTCTTAAACTATCTGTGTTTCAATGCAACTTTTGATGCTGTTAATGGGTCATCTAGAAACAGCCGCTCCATGTTTTAGCATATGAGTCAGGTTGCGTACATGTGACCCCCTTACCCCACAATGGGCGGGAGCCCTTGGGGTAATGTTGTTGTTGCTGTTTAAATTTGAATGATGAACTCATTTTGGGACAAATATGTCTTTTTCAATTTTTCTTTTGAATATGGAGTATGAGTTACTTTGTATCGTGCATGATCCCTTTAGTATCATGCAAATAACAATAGTTACGCGAGAGGGAGTAGAAATTATTATCTTTGTTTTGAATCATTTAATTGATACATTTTTTTTGTGGCACTCTGCAGTTTTATTCCATTTCAGCAATTGATGGAGGCAAGACCTGGCTTGTGCCTGTTGGCTGAGTTTCCACATGAATGGTTGGTTCTTTTTTCTATTTGAATTTTTTTTTATTTTTAAATCGAAAGAACTGGTTAAAAAAGGCATCATATACATGGGGAAGGGTTCTTATGAGAATCCCCCTCATCATAACCACACTTTAAAGTTGAGAACACTTAATAAGGCCCCTTAGATCTCACACACACACACATCTCAACAGCCCATTTAATCAAAATTATCCTATCTGTTCAATCTCAGACGCATAGAAATTAATTTTATTCTTCTACGCTTGTAGTGAGCTTAAGAATAGCAGCAGTGAGAGCAGTTTTAGTAATTCAAGCAATTATTCAAGTGACGCACTGGGATTATCGAGTTCAACTGAGTGGAGTTATACCAGTGAAGGAAGTTCTGATGAGGTGGACTTTGCCGGAGACGCTCTTTTTTAAGCAGCAGATTCTAACACCCTCTGATTAAAACACTAAAATTTGTACTCTGTCTCTCGTCTTTGCATTTTATCACTGATGAAAATAAAGCCGAAACCATTTGTGCGTTATTCTTTAGGGAAGACATGTCATAAGAAAATGCGACATAAACACATTATTTGGTAATTGTGATATGTAGTCTATTGAATGCGGGGAAGTTGGGTGATTTTGTAAGTTCTTACACTGAATGCTACATAAGAACCACTTTGCTTTATTCCATCTTACACTGTAAAAATACTTCCCTTCGTGATATGTGGTCCACTTTCCACCATAAACAACATATAATATAACAACATCTGTACCCATCTGCAATCGAAAAAACATAAACAACAAAAAATATCACATTTAAGTTGATGGGTATATCCTTATACCCGACCCGGATAACCGAAAGGGACAGGTCAAAACATGACCGGTCACTTTTATCAAGTCACCAAATGAGGTCAACTCTTCGATTGGGATGTGTCAAAAGTTGACCGGTCACTTCCACTAAAAAAGTGACCGGTCACATTTTGGGCGATAGCCAAAATATCACCTAATGTTGTGAAGAATTCTAAAAGACCAAAGAGACGGGTTGAGCGCAAGAAATGACCGGGTAACCTAACAGAAAAGGTGACCGGTCATATCACTTTACTTGGATAACATTGGTTCAGTCTCTTAGGCATGAGGAACCGCGTCAGAGGTCAAGGGATACCCCGCCGCTCATCCATCACGAGACATACAGTGAAAGGGATGTTTGTCATTTTGCAGGGTTGATTGGATTGAGACCCGGCCCAATAATGAAAAGTAAACCCTAGTGCTTAAGTAGAGACTGAAATCGTGTCTTCGCGGCGGAGTTAGATCAGGACGGAGGCCTAGTGCTTAGTACCCGGAAGAAAAGCCGCCGGAGTAGACAGCGCAAGGCCACCGCGTCCAAGCTCGGAGCAGAAAAATGGCGGAAAAGGCAGTGACCATCCGGACACGTAAATTCATGACGAATCGCCTTCTCTCAAGGAAACAATTCGTAAGAACCCCCACTCCCATGCGCTGTTAGAAAGCTTAATTTATTGTTTTCGCTTACGTCTTGTGCTTCCGAATTGATGTAGGTCATCGATGTTCTCCACCCTGGAAGGGCCAATGTTTCAAAGGTTATATTTTTGGTTTTTTGGTTAATTTTAGTATCAGAAATGTTTAGTTCAGATTCAATCGTTATAAATCTCGAGGTAAACGTTGTTAATCAGGGATTACACGTAACTTATGTTTC